AAATAAAAATGGCAACTAATAAGTATCTATCAACAGCACCTTAAATGTAAATGGCTTAAATGCTCCAATCAAAAAACATAGGGTAGCTGATTGGATAAGAAAACACATCCCATATATATTCTGTCTATAAGAGACCCAACTCACAACAAAAAACTCACACAGGATGAAAGAGAAACTAAAAAAGCAATCCCACTTATCATTGTGGCAAAAAATTAAGATACCTAGGAATAAACTTAACCAAAAAAGTAAAGGACCTATTCGCAGAAAACTACAGGTCATTGAAAAAATAAATAAAAAAAGATATAAAAAAGTGGAAGCATATGCCTTGTTCATGGATTAGATGAATTAACATCATTAAAATGTCCATACTACCCAAAGCAATCTATAGATTCAATGAAATCCCCATTAAAATACCAACAACATATTTCACAGAACTAGAACAAATACTCCATAAGTTTATATGGAACCAAAAAAGACCCCAAATGGCTACAGCAATCTTGAAACAGAAGAACAAAGTAGGAGGGATCACAATACCAGATATGAGGTTTTACTACAAAGCCATAGTAATCAAAACAGGCTGGTACTGGCACAAGAACAGGCATACAGCTCAGTGGAACAGAACAGAGAACCCAGAAATGGACCCAAGTCATTATGCTCAATTAATATTTGACAAAGGTGGCAAGAGTATACAGTGGAGTAAAGACAGCCTCTTCAATAAATGGTGTTGGGAAAATAGGACAGCTACATGCAAAAAAAAAAAAGAAGCTAGACTACCAACTTACACCATACACAAGTATAAACTCAAAATGGATAAAAGAGTTAAATGTGACTCGTGAATCCATAAAAATCCTAGAAGAAAATGCAGGCAACAAAATTTCAGACATCACACGCAGCAGAATTTTCACTGATACAATGCCTAAGGCAAAAGAAACAAAGAAAAAAATGAACACACAGGACATCAAACTAAAAAGCTTCTGCACAGCAAAAGAAACAAGCATCAAAATGAAAAGGGAACCCACTATATGGGAGAGCATAATGGCTAATGATACATCCGACAAGGGGCTAATTTTCAAAATATATAGAGTACTCATAAACTCAACAAAATGAAGACAAAGAACCCAATTGAAAAATGGGCCAAGGAACTAAACAGACACCTCTCTAAACAGGACATACGAATGGCAAAGAGTCATATGAAAAAATGCTCAACATCACTAATCATCAGAGAGATGCAAATTAAAATGACTATAAGGTATCACCTCACACCTGCCAGAATGGCTGCCATCAACAAAGCATCAAACAACAAGTGTTGGTGAGGGTGTGGAGAAAAGGAGACTCTAGTACACTGCTGGTGGGAATGCAGCCTGGTGCAGCCACTATGGAAAAAAATGTGGTGTTCCCTCAAAAAATTAAAAATTGAACTGCCATTTGACCCAGTGATCCCACTTCTAGGAATATATTCTAAGAAGCCCGAAACACCAATTAGAAAGACTATATGTACCCCTATGTTCATAGCAACACTATTTACAATTGCTAAGATCTGGAAACAGCCCAAGTGTCCATCAATAGATGAGTGGATAAAAAAGCTGTGGTACATATACACAATGGAATACTATGCAGCTGTAAGAAGGAGAGATCTCTTATCCTTTGAGATGACATGAAGGGACTTGGAGGGTTTTTTGCTAAGTAAAATAAGCCAATCAGAGAAAGACAAATATCACATGATCTCACTTATTTTGGAATATAATGAACAAAATAAGCTGATAAACAAAATAGACCCAGAGCCATAGAAAGAAGTAGGATTCAGACTGGCAAACCTCAGAGACGGGGCACCGGGGAGGGAAGAGATAAACCACAGAACTTATATGCATAATCAACGAACATAGACAACAATGCTCTGAGGGGTGGTGGGATCAGGAGGAGGGTGTGTATGGAGGGAAAAGGAGAAACATCTGTAACAAAAATAAACCAAAAAAGCAAACAAAAACAATAATAACATCAACAAGAAAAAACAAATAAAAACAAATACACAGCAACCCAAAATCTATGGGACATAACTTCAGTAGTTCTAAGAGGGAAACTCATAGCATTACAAGTGTATCTCAAAAAGCAAGAAAAATCTCAAACAATCTAACTTTACACTTAACAGAACTAGAAAAAGAACAACAAATAAAGCCCAAGTAAGTAGAAGAAAGGAAATAAAGATCAGAGCAGCCCAGCCGGTGTGGCTCAGTGGTTGAGCATCGACCCATGCACCAAGATGTTGTCAGTTTGATTCCCAGTCAGGGCACATGCCCAGGTTGTGGGCCTAATCCACAGTGGGGGGCATGCAGGAGGCAGCCAATCGATGTTCTCTCTCATCAATGTTCTAGCTCTCTCTCACTCTCCCTTTCCCTCTCTCTCTAAAATCAATAAAGAAAAAAATTAAAATAAATAAAAATCAAAGCAGAAATGAAATAGAGTCTAAAAGATACAAAAGACCAATGAAACCAGAGCTGGTTCTTTGAAAGATAAACAAGGTTGACAAACCTTTAACTAGACTCATCAAGAAAAAAAGAGGGACAACCCAAATACATAAAATCAGAAATGAAAGAGAAGTAACAGCTGACACCAAAGAAATACAAATGACTGTAAGAAAATATTACAAATAACTATATGCCAATAAATTGGACAGTCTGGAAGAAATGGATACATTCTTAGCAACATGCAAACTTCGAAAATGGAATCAGAAAAAGTAAGAGAATCTGAACAGACAGATTAAAACTAGTGAAAGAGAAGCAGTAATAATAATAATAAAAAAAACTCCCAATAAACAAAAGTCCTGGACCACACAGCTTCATAGGTGAATTTTAACAAACATTCAAAGAAGAACTAATACCTATCCTCCTCAACTATTCCAAAAAAATTCAAGAAGAGGGAAGATTTCGAAATTCTTTTTATGAGACCAGCATTATCTTAAATCCAAAACCAGATCAAAACACTACAAAGAAAGAAAATTATAGGCCAATATCCCTGATAAACATAGATGCAAAAATCCTCAACAAAATATTAGCAAACTGGATCTAGCAATACATTAAAAAGATTATACACCATAATCAAGTGAAATTTATTCCTGAGATACAACGTTGGTACAATATCCACAAATCAATAAATGTGATATACTGCATAAGGTAAATGAAGGATAAAAAACACATGATCATATCAATAGATGCAGAAAAAGCATTTGATAAAATCCAGCACCCATTTATGATAAAAAACCCTCAGCAAAGTGGGAATAGAAGGAACACACCTCAATGTAATAAAGGCCATAAACGACAAATTCTCAGTCAACATCATACTCAATGGGCAAAAACTACAAGTGTTTCCCTTAAGATTGGGAATAAGACAGAGATGTATACTTTCACCACTCTTATTCAACAGTACTGGAAGTCCTAGCCACAGCAATCAGAGAAGAAGACATAAAGAGCATTCAAATAGGAAAGGAAGAAGTAAAACTGTCATTATTTATAGATGACACGATATAAGAGAACCCTAAAGATTCCACCAAAAAACTACTAGAACTGATCGATGAATTCATTAAAGTAGCAGGATATAAAATAAATATTCAGAAATCAGTTACATTTTTATATACCAATAATAAACTATCAGAAAGGGAAACTAAAAGAACAAGCCCATTTATATTTACTTCAAAAAGGATAAAATACCTATGAATAAATTTAACCAAGGATGTGAAAGATCTGTACTCAGAAAATTATAAGACACTGAAGAAATAAAGAACATACTAATCAGTGGGAGCACATACCATGTTCATGGATAGGAAGAATTAACATCATTAAAATGTCCATACTACCCAAAGCAATCTATAGATTCAACATAATTGCTATCAAGATAACAATGGTGTATTTCACAGAACTAGAACCAATATTCCAGAAATTAATATGGCACCACAAAGTACCTAAATAGCTCCAGCAATCTTGAGAAAAAAGAATAAAATTGTAGGAATCATACTACCTGATATCAAGCTATACTATAAGGCCAGAGAAAGACAAGTATCATACGATTTTACTCATGTGTGGAATCTAATAAACAAAATGAACTAACAAGCAAATAGAGACAGACTCAAAGAGAGTAGACTGAGAGTTGTTGCGGGTGGGGGTGGGGTGTTGGGGGCTGGGCGGATGGAGGGATTAAGCAAATAAGAAGAAAAAAAAAATATGGCTGTTGTGGCTCAGTAGTTGAGCACAGACCCATGCACCGGGGGTTACTGGTTCCATTCGCGGTCAGAACACATGCCCAGGTTTTGGACCCAAGCCCCAGTGGCCAGCATGTAAGAGGCGGCTAGTCAATATTCTCTCTCATAGGTATTTCTGTCTCTCTCTCCCTCTCACTTCTTCTCTCTCTAAAATCAATAAAGGAAAAAAAAAGGTTTAAAAAAAAAGAAGGAAAAAAAGAGAAGAAAGTCATCAAACATCATGGTACTGGCATAAAAACAGACATACAGAACAATGCGTGGACTCATGAACCAAAAGGTCGCAGGTTCTATTCCAGGTCAGGGCACATGCCCAGGTTGCAGGCTCAGTCCCCAGTGGGGGGCGTGCAAGAGGAAGCCGGGAAACATTGATGTTTCTCTCTCTCTCTCTCTCTCTCTCTCTCCTCTCTCTCTCTCTCTCTCTCTCTCTCTCTCTGAAACTCAATTTAACATAATTTTTAAAAAGTGGGTCTCTTGCTGCAGCGACGCGAGTGGGGTCCGTTAGCCCGATCGAGGAGCGAAGCCGAGGACTGTTTAAGAAAATGGCAGACAAGCCGGACATGGGGGAAGTCGCCAGCTTCGATAAGGCCAAGCTGAAGAAGACGGAGACGCAGGAGAAGAACACCCTGCCGACCAAAGAGACCATTGAGCAGGAGAAGCAGAGTGAAATTTCCTAAGAACCTGGAGGACTCCCCACCCCCGTCATCTTTGGGATCCCAGTCGTGAGTGGAGAAAAAGCCACCCCACTTGCAAGATGGACACGAGCGACAAACTGCACTGTGAACCCGGATACTCCGCGCCCATGCCATCGGCCTGTGGGTCTCTGAGGGGACCCCCCCATTCACCCCCAATCGGACTGCCAAATTCTCCCTTTTGCCCTGGGATACTGTAGAAAATTATTTGTATGATTAATGAAAATAAAACACACCTCGTGGCATGGCAAAAAAAAAAAGTGTTGGCAGGATTTAATTGAACCTAGGTCACAGATCACTGCACCACGGGGGGGGGGGGGGGGGCAATCATGCCCTCTGCCATTTCTGCGATGCCTCCCCCGGGTCGCACGGTGGCGCTGCGCCTACGCCGAAGCCCGAGCTGTTGTCAGGCGCGAAGGGGCGCGCCGTCTTCTGGGGATCCTCAGGTCGAAGGCGACTCGCAGGGCGACTACGGTGAGTGGGGCTGGTCGCTGGCTTGGCTCCGGATCGCGCCCTCTGGGCCTCTCGTTCCCAGGCTGGGGAGGGCCGACCACGCCGAGCGACCAGGCCCGAGGCGGCCCCGGCCTCTCCGACTCTCCGCCCGGGCCCGTGAGCCCGGGGCGCGCGCGCACAGCTCGGGCACAAAGGCCCCGCAGCATCGGGCCCGCGTGCGGGGGCCAGGAGCCCCTTCCGTGCTGTTGTGTGCCGGGAGACCTGGGCACGACCCTTCCCCACCTCGGAGCCTGCTTCTCTCTTGTCTGAGAAACCCGTACCACGATGCCTCTGAGTCCCTTGCAGCACCGACACTGTGGGGTTGGGGTGGCTTGGGTCGCTCTGACCCCGGCCCTGACCGTCTGCCCCGCAGGCTCTGCCACCTATCACCCTGGCCCTTCTCTGCTTGGACGGCGTCTTCCTCTCCCCAACCGAGAATGACTTTGTGCACCGCGTCCACGAGGAGCTGGACCGCTTCCAGCTGCAGAAGCAGCTGTCCAAGTAAGATGGAGCGAGAGTGTTGGAGGGGCCCTGCTGCTGCTAGGAAGGGCAGGGTGCACCCGCTCCCTCTGCCCCCTTCCCCAGTGGTGCCAGCAGGGTAACTGGCCTGCAGTTGTCCTTGACCTTGGCCTTTAGGTTTAATGATCTGCCCTCTGGCCTCTCCCAGTTACATTTTGCCTGTGTAATTCTGGGCATTACCTCGAGACTGAAGAGGCCCAGCACAGGAATGGGAACAGGACCAGTAACTCCCCGTGGTAACCTCTATGCTCAGGTCCTTTGCAGTCAGCTTGGGACTCAACGGGGCAGAGGGAGCCTAATGTTAAGCCACCTTTAAATTGGGAGTGCGGCTGGTGGGGGTCAGGCCTTAGAAGCTGCACCTGGAGCCCATGCTCAGCACTCCTTCTGCCCCTTCCCAGGGTCCTTCTTTTCCCCCCACTCTCCAGTCGCCTTCGGTACCTGATCCATAGGACAGCAGAGAATTTTGATCTTTTGAGCAGCTTCTCTGTTGGGGAAGGCTGGAAGAGGAGGACAGTCATCTGTCACCTGGACATCAGGTGTGTATCCTACTGCCTTAGAGGGCTCTCAGTAGTTCCTTGTGGGTGTGGGCAGGTGAGTGATCTGGTCAGCCCCTGGGAGGGGAGCCCCCAGGCTGCTGCCTCTACCCCCAGCCTCAGCTGTTCAGAGTCAGTGCTGCCTTTTCTTTCAATAGTGGGGTAGATGTGTATTGTTTGTCAAGTTCATTTAGCAAATTCAACTGTACATGTTGAGCCAATAGAGAGAAAGAGAGAGAGAGAGAGAGAGAGAGCGCGCGCGCACAGTTTAAGCAATGAGGGTGTCTGCTCATGACTTGGGTAACATGTGCCCAGAGTCCCTGGAATAAATGTGAGAAACACAGCTGAGCCTTTGCTCGTCTCTTTTCCATGTGCATCTCTTAGGATCTTGTAATGACTATGAGCCTAATGTTTGATTTTTTTTTGATTGCCGAAACCCAGGATTGAACTATGTTTAATATTTTTCTAATAGCACAGTCCCTAAGTGCAAGTATTTGCCTGGTACATAACCAAAAGTTCAGCGTCTCTAACTCAGTTGAAACACGAGGGAGAGCTTGGCTCCTTTGGGCTAGTTCAGAGATAGCATTCAGCCTCCACTATGATACCTTCTTAAGGTATTTTCAAGGTTATTTTGGCATTGGTTTTTGCCGAATGCTGAAAGGCAGGTAGCTCCAGTAAATCATTTTCCTTGGGACCCAGATATGCTCTGACCAACTTCTGTTCCTGCTTCAGGTTACCCAGTTCAGATGAACTCTCTGGCCCCTGCCACTCTCCTGCCTCCCACCCTAGCAAGTACCAAGGTCCTTGGCCCACCTCAAACCAAAGACTGGCTGCTGGTCCCCGAGGGGTACGGGCAGGCCGGTGGCATCGAGGACGCAAGCCGGACCAGGCTTTGTATGTGCCTCGGGCGCTGCGCAGGCAAGAAGAATGGGCACTAACCCCTACCCCAGAGTTCAAGGTTGACGTTCCCGCTGGTGGGCTTATGGAAGAGCCTGGAGATGTTGGTGATGGGGACCCCAGCTCTGCTCAGGACCGCCCTGTGTTGATGATTCAGGCAAAAGAGGACCTAAAGGGCCCAAGCCAGCATTGTGAGAATGAGCAGCTGCTGGATCCAGTGGGCACTGAGCCCGTGGGGCCTGGGAGCCACTCAGGGGCGGGAGACAGCCTGGAGAAGGCCGCGCAGCTTTCGTCAGGTTTGCAGCTGGACTTGGAAAAGGGGAATTGGAGTGAGCTGGAGAAGAGCCTGACAGCAGAGGAGGAAGAGGAAGAGGTGGAAGTTGAGGGAGCTGTCAGCTTCCCCGAGGAAGATTACAGTGAGCTGCTGCAGGAGGTGATGAGGCTCATAAGCCCAGAAAAGGGAGGGCGGAAGTGAGGTGGGTGTAGTCCTGGGTAGATGGGACCAAGGGTCATGGTGTGGAGGGGTGGGCATGTGCTGGCTGAGCAGGGCTGGGTGTTTGGATGATAAGGGTCCCCTGGGAGACAGGGGGGAAAAGCATGGGGCTTTTGCCCAAAGGAGCCAGGGTTGACACAGTGGAGGGAGAGGAAGCTCATATTGGGTCAGGGATGTGGATTTGGATCCCAGCTCAACTACATGGGAGCTGTTTGACTTCGGGCAAGTCATTCTGCTTTTCTGAGTCTCAGTTTTCTCATCTGAAAATCAGATGATAATACGTCCTAACGTAGATGGGATGTATGTGGACTTGCTTTGTAAGGGACTGCAGATATTGATTGTGAAAATTATTCTGCCTGAAGCTTTGTCTTACAAATCTAATTTCCTTGGAACTGTGTCTGTCTCTGAGATTAGCTATGGTGTTTAGTTGGGAGGGCAGGTGTCTTTTGTTGCTATTTTATAGGTGAAGAATGGAGGCCAGAAAGACTTGCTTAATATCACATCATTAAGGAGGGAAGGAAAGATCCTGGACTTGCCCAGCGCTGTCTCTTACTGACTGTGCATCTTTGGGCAGAATTACTTAATTCTTTTTTCTTTTATTCTCACCCAAGGACATTTTTCCATTTTTGTTTGGTTGGAATGGGAGAGAGAGAGAGGAAGCGAGAGAGAGAGAGAGAAACATTGACGTGAAAGGGACACATCGAGTGGCTGCCTCCTGCACAACCCCAACCGGGGTTGGGGACAAACTGCAACTGAGGTACGTGCCCTTAGCAGGAACTGAACCCGGGTCTGTCTGGACCACCGGCTGACGCACTAACCGCTGAGCCAAACCAGCCAAGGCAGAATTACTTAATTCTTTGATTTACAGTGTCCCCATCTGTAAAGTGGATATATAGAATAGAGCTTTCAGGATTCTATGAAACATAATGTGTGTGAGTGCCAGTCACATAGTGGGGACTCCATAAAAGTAAGTTCCCTTCCCCAGTACCCACCCTTCTCCATCTTCCAGTCCAGTATACTATCATGCTGCCTTTCCTACACTCCTGCCAGGCGTGGCTCCCATGGGAACCTACCCTTAACACTCTCCCCACTGCCACCCAGAAGCCTGCAAGACTCTGGTTTTGAAAGCAGTTGTGTGGAGCCCTGTGTCAGAGCTCATCTTGCTAACAAATGTGCTCTCCCCAGATAAAGGACAACCTGACCAAGAAGGAGATTCAGGTAGAGAAGGTCTGTGTGGACACATCCTCCTTCGTGGAGGAGCTTCCTGGAGAGCAGGATTTTGCCCACGTGGTGGAGATCTACGACTTTGCATCGACACTCAAGACTGAGGACCTGCTGGCAGCATTTCCCGAGTTCCAGTGAGTGTAGGCGAGGCGGCGGGGTGGCAGAGGAAGCCGAGTGCTCCCTCTGGAGAGGGGCTAAGACATCCCTTTGTCGTTGGGTATACTTGCCTGCCCCTCCCCTGGTGCCTAGCCATCTAGAAAGGCAGAAAGTAGATTCCGTTGTTCTGGGCTCCATACTTCTGGGCAGTTCAGGCTAGTGGCCGTGACTGGGGAGAAGAGGAGGGTGATTTTTGGTTGTCAGTGTGTTCCAGAGGCCCTCGACCTGGTCCACCCGGCACACGCAGCACCTCCGTCCTGCCCCTGCATGCCCACATGCCTACCAGGCCCCAGTGGGACCCTACATCTGATGCAGGGCGCAGGCAGCCCACCCCCAGCCCCTTGTTCCATATCCCAGCTTCCCAGTCAATCAGTCAGCAGACTGAGGGCCATCTCTGCAGGAACCATCTCTGGGGAAGAGTCGGGGTGGAGACGGGAGCCAAAGGGATGTACTGAGAGAGAAGACTTCTCCTTTTCCCCTAAATTGCTTAAATCCACTCCAATCTTCTCCTTTTCCCTTTTTCTTTTCTTTTTTCTTAATGCTCATTTTTCTTTCTCTAATCCCCCTTCTCTTCTCCTATGTAGGCTTTTAAAAATCCCTTTCTTCATGGCCCCCTTTTCTGACTCCTTTGCAAAAGCCCTCCCACGCCCTCCCAGAGCCTGAGCTGGAGGAGAGCTAAAGGGGTAGCTGGGTGAGGCACCTGCTCTCACACCTGAAGGTGTGGCCAACCCAGGGCCACCCGTGACTTCTTCGGCCATGTAGTCAGTGCCTGCAGAGGGGCGGGGGTGGGGAAACTACTTTGGGCCTCTCGCGGCCCTCAGACAATGCCACTTTCCTGAGCAGGGGGCAGAAAGTTGATCAGGAGCAGTAACACGGACATGCAGATTTTAGGCCCTGTCTCTTGTCCCTACCACACCCTTTTGTCTCCAGCCTCAGACCCCAGCCCCTGGTCTGGCTGTGACAGCACCAGTAGGAGCCGTTGTCACCCTTGGTGTCATGCTCCATAAGCTCTTTTAGTCCTGGCTTCTTCAGATCTAGGAACCAGGGACCACCTGATGAACAGGGGTGGTTTTTGTCTTTTTGAAGAGATGGAACTAGTCTTGGGCTCACAATGTTTGAGGAGTGGCGGTGGCAGGGGACTCCTCTAGCAGAAAGGGTTTTGCTCATTTGCTTTTGTAATCACTCTGCCTGCTCTTCCCCATCTCAGAGAGAAGGAGTTCAAGATCCAGTGGGTGGACAACACACATGCCCTTGGCGTCTTTCCATGCCCGGCCTCAGGTACTGCAGCTTCGCGGTGGGCTCAGCCCCTGCTCTGTCCCTGAGAAGGGAAGGGCCTTGGTGTCCCTGGTGTGCCCAGCATGTCCAGGTTGCAGGCCCACTCCCAGCCCACCTAACTCAGAAGTCCAGGGAGCAGAGGGGGCTCTGGGCCTGGCAGCCCACAGCCTTTCCCATTCGTGTTAGTCCCTTCAGTTTAGAGACTTCAGATTCAAGTGACACTGAGCACTTGTCACAGGGCAAGCCCTAGGTACTTCCACATATTAAATGAAATCATATGAAAGTGATCTTTTTATAGGTCAAAAGCATTCCAATACGTGCCTTCTTTTCCTTTTTTATTACAGCCTCAAAAAGTGGGTGAGATCACCTGTATTTTGCAAATGGGGAGACCAAGGTTCCCAGAATGTCAGGGATCTAGTCAGAGTTATGAAGCTCCTCAGTCAGCCGGCCTACTGTTGTAACTCCAGTGTTCCTTCTGCCTCTTGCCCACTTTCCTGAGCTGCCTGTCACACCCCTGCTCACTTTGGGTGTGTTTATAAAGAGTAATCCCCTGCCCCTCTTGGCTGGGCTTCTGAACACTGGAGCTGAGAGAGGCCATAGGTGGTGTGGGCTCAGTCCTCCAGAGGACCTGAGGGAAAAGGGGTGGTGTTTAGGGAGCAGGGCACAAGGGCACAGTAGGGGCTCCAACCCCAGAGAAGGAGCCGAGTGAACGGGAGGTGGCAGGGGAGCCCAGAGGCCACCTGGTGCGATGGAAAGAATGAGTACTGGGCTGGGCCTGGCCGGGGCTGCCTTCTGGGTGCCAAGCTGTGTGGCATGAGCAGGTCAAGTTTAGCCTCAGTTGTCTCATCTCTAAAGGCGTGGCTTGGCCGTGAAGCCCCTCCCAGCTCTGACATGCTGTGTCTGTATGTAACTCAGAGCAGTGAGGGCATGCGTCCTGGGAGGGTCTTGAGTTGGGGAAAGGGTACAGTTTGAAGCTCCCTGGCTTTAGAAGGTGGGAGGCCGCCTCTCCTGTGCTCCTGCAGCCAGGGCGGAGGGTGGAACCGGGCTCTGCAGGCTTTCCTTCTGCGAGCGCAGGGGCCCGAGGCATTTGGGGCTGGGGCGGGAGGGCACATGGCACAGAGGCAGTGGGCAGCCCTGTCCCTGGACTTAGGATGAGTGCATGAAACAGCTGCCTGTGTTTTAGGTGTGATGTTTGTGTGTTCCTGGGCCCTGGAGGGACCTGACCAGTAGGGGGAGGATGGCCCTAGAGCTCTTTTCTTTCCACAGCTGCTGAAGCCCTGACCAAGGATTTCTCAGGTCTCAAAATCCGACCCCTCACGCAGGGAAGCAAGCAGTCCAAGCTGAAAGCATTGCAGAGACCAAGTAAGGGAGCGGCTGTGTCCCGACGGGCAGGCTGTGCGCGTGGGGCGGCTGTGGGCCTTTCCTGTGATCCGGCCCCCCTTGTTCAGCTCTCTGCAGTTAGGACCCCTGGGCTCAGTGGCCAGGGGGTGCTCCTCTCTCACACCGGGACACCTAGGGAAGGAAGCGCCTGTCTGCCTGCTGCTGTGTTCAGGGCCTGCCCTCCTGTTCACACCTTTGCTGGGTGCTGCTCGCGGAGAAGCTTGGTTTTTTCTGCAAGTCCTTGGGAACCATATTTCACAGTGTGGTAAAAAGAGTCCACCCTTAGTGTGATCCTGGCTTTGTCACTTATTTAAGTTGACCTTGAGCAAGTCACCTCATGTCCGTGAGTTGGTTTTTTTCTCTAAAATAAGTAGCTCGTGCAGAGTGTGCCAGAGGTGTGGATGAGAGCTGGCAGGTCTGCCAGGAGAGCTGAGAGGCACCAAAGGCGCCAAGTAAACGGCAGCTCTTCCCTTTGCCTCTTCATCAGAAAGCATGACGGGGACTTTTAAAGGCCAGTTTCCTGTGGCTGCAAGGCAGTGGCCAGCTAGGCCTGTTGACGCCACCCACGCTTTTGTGGATTGTGTGGCCTTTGCCCCATACTTCCTGGGGACAGTAAATATCCTCCTATCCCAGAGTACTAGGTGTGCCATACTGACTCGATTTCCCTCCCAATGGCCCTACAAAGCAGGAAGGTGTACTGTGCAGGTAGAGAAACAGGGAGAGCACAGAGAGGTGGCAGGATTAGGTCCAGACCCAGCAGCCCTCAGTGGGCCCCCTCTCACTGCATCGGGCCGTACTGTGAGCACAGCTTGTCTTAGGCGGCCTCTGAGGCTGCTGTGTCGCTGGGAGGAGAGGAGGCCATGGCTTTGAATTCAAGTCCTCACCCCATGGGGCTTTCCTTGTAGAGCTCCTGCGTCTAGCGAAGGAGAGACCACAGACAAGTACAGCAGTGGCCCAGAGGCTGGTGGCCCGGGCCCTGGGGCTTCAACACAAAAAGAGAGAGCGGCCTGCTGTCGAGTCTCCTACCTCCCTGAGGCCTGAAGAGGCCCAGCCAGCCTGGATCAACTCCCCATGACAAGCTGGGGCCTCAACACCACAAGCCTTTACAGGGACCAGAGCAGCCCTGTCTCCTGCTGGAGCTTCCCTGTGGGACGTGAAGCTTCAGTTTGGTCCAGTTTCAGAAGTTGAGAACAAAATAAAAACTTAAAATTTTAAATAATATATACTTAGGAATAAATCTAAGATGCGCGACACCTCTACACAGAAAACTGTAAAATGTATTTGAGAATTTAAAGACCTGAATTAATGGAGAAAGAAACCATGTCCTTGAATTGGAAGACTTAAAATTATAAAGATGTAATTTTTAAACTAGTTTATAAATTCAATGCACATTCAATAAAAATTCCAGCAAGTAAAAAAAAAGTTGTTATAGCTCTGGCCTGGTGGCCCAGCTGGTTGGAGTGTCATCCATACACCAGAAAGGTTGGGGTTTTGATTCCTGGTCAGGGCACATACCTAGGTTGTAGGTTCGATCCTGTTGGGGTATGTATGGGAGGCAACCAATCAATGTTTCTCATGTGAATGTTTCTCCCTACAATCAATAAAAACATATCCTGAGGTGAGGATTAAAAAAAGTTATGTGATTGCTTCAAACTGTGATGTACCACGGGACACTAGGGGGTGCTGTTTGTCTCCCATTTTAGACCTGGGGACGCTGAAGAAATTGGTTATTCCAGGAGACTGGCCTGGAGGACTCCCCTGGGCCTGCCCAGCATTTTTGCACAGAGCCTGCCCAGCATTTTTGCACAGAGCCTGCCCAGCTTGGGAGTAGGTTGCACCTGCGGTGTGACACCTGTGCAGTCTCCCCTCACCAGTCGGGTACCCTTACCTGCCCCCAGCACTGCAGAGTGGCTGGGGGCTGTGGTGTGGGCCAGGCCAGCCCCCAGGACTGGTCCTAACGTTTTCTGTCAGTACAGGCTACAAAAGGGCTCCTTGCAGAAATAAACATGAACAAAGCCAAGAGGTGAAATCTGAAATTGTTACTGAGTTTGCCTCCCTTACAACGGATGCAAGGACATTTTTTGTGGGGACAGGTCCCAGTGCACTCATTTTTCTGGTTTGGATGGAGTCGGTGCTGAGGGGCTTCCATGTCATTGTGGAGCCTTGTGATTTCCTGGTACAGTCTTGACACAAGTAGGAGCCATTGTCTGGGTGAGAGTCCCTGGCCGGGCCGCCTACCCCCACTGCTGGGGAGAGCTCTGAGCCCCTCTGTACATGTGCACACCTTGCCTTGCCACCCTGTCCCTCAGAGCTGGCCAGGCCCTGCCCTGCGGGGAGCCTCCTAGGATGTCAATCTAGATGTCCCTTCTGGTCCTAACACAACTGCTGTGCCCCCTGACAAATTTCAGTAAAAAACAAGAGCTCAAGAAAGATTGTGACTTGTTTTTTTGTGACCATCTTAGAGTGCTCTCAAGGGGCGGGGTTGCTCCTTTGAGGGTGTCTGGAAGGAGGCCCCCTGTGGCCACACTGGGCCCCAGCTCTGCAGGAGTGGACCCAAGTGTACGAGGCTCCCTCCGCCCATGAGACAGGAGCCCTGCTGCTCAGGGCTGGGTGCAGCGGTCCAAATGAAACACAGATGCGTATCATAAATCTTTTATTCCAAGTTCAAGTATGTGTAAGTATCCGTGATGACACATAGTGTTCGGTGAGTGTCCTTGTCACCCAGGACCCTGGTTATAGCACCGTTAACAGTTACCCGCAACATCGGAACAACAGAAACATGAGTCACTTACACAGTTGGGCAGGTTTTTCTTTTGAGCTATATTTTCAGAGGCCTAGATCGCCAGTATTAAATACCACTACTTTGTGTTTTGAAGTCCATGAAAATATAATGGTATCTTGAAAAATAAGAGGACGCGGGGGTGGGGGAGAAGCACCAATTCTGAGCTCACCTCTCAGAAAACGTGGCAACATTATTTCTATGTGTGAGTAGGATGGAGGAGAGGAGAGGCCGTCTGTTTAATTGGAAGAGAGTTCTAGATATTCAAGTTGGCTGGAAATGACCCAAGAGGAAGAGAAGTGGGAGTCAGCCTGACTGCCTCCGGCTGACACGCTGACATCACCAGCATGGCACTTGGGGAAATGGCCCCTTGGTATCAGTGGTGAGCTGAAGAGAGTGGTGTTGGACTTGGGGGGACCGTGGTTTGGATGGGACAAGTTGATGACAACCTGGGGTCCTGGACAAGGTGGCAGGTGACCCGGCTCCCATGGCCTTGCGGACAAGCCTCACTCCGAGGCTGTCCCAGGCTCCACGCAGCAGCCCCAGCACGTGTCAGGAACACCCCTTCCTCCTGAGCTTGGATGTGGCCGCAGTGTCCAGACAGGCGGGGCTAGGCTGGGCGAGGGGCGTGTGGTGGTCCTCGGGTGGATCAGACCGCAGTTGGGGAAGAGGAGCTGTGGTCCGAAGGCTGCCTTACCACGTGGAGAGCTGGTTATGTATGAGTCCACTGAAGTGTTCAAACTTCTTTTCTGTCTCTTCACTGAAGGAACCACCTGAGGGGTGGGAGTCAGAGACATCAGAGTTTGTCACACCAGACACAGCCCTCCCCTGGGTGGAGCGGTTGGCCTCAGGCACCCTGGAGCCACCACCCTCCACCAGGTGGCCTGCTGGGGCCACCAGGCTCCTGCCAGGTGCTTTGAGTTAGGGGAAGGAGTGAATGAGTAGAGTGTGGTTAGGCTTGGCCCTCACCTAGAGCGAGGACCACCACTCTTCCTAGAAGAGAAAGCTCTGCTTCCCTTGTTGTACCCCAGGTCGTATAACACAGGCAGAGGTTTCTTTTTTGGTGACCAGAAGCCACACTGGTTCACTAGCTTCTAGTTCCCGACAGGAAAATGATACACAGAGCCACAGATTGCTGACGCCTACATTTCTGAGGTCACATGCATAATGAGGTGGTGGCCTCAACTCCTGCCCTTGAATAGCTTTGGGGTCTGTGCTGGGCCACCGGTTCTGCGCCAGCCCCTTGGCCAGAGCGGCTGTGAGAACCCAATCTGCAACCAGCCTGATGCGTCTGCAGTGTCCTCCCTGCGCGTGGAGCTGTGGGGCTGGTTGCTCTCCCCGGGTTCTCTGCCCAAATGAGGAAGCTGCTCCGGCTCTTTGAGAAAGCAGGGAGGCTCTTGCCTGTCTCCTGCAGTGGGGAACCTGGCAGGTCTGGGGTCCCCCCCTGGGTTCTTGTCCAGGGGCCTTACCTATGTGGCAGTTGTACATCCAGATGCGGTGGCCGTCATAGCGGGTCCTGCACTTCATGATGTTGTTGGTGTAGTCAGACTCTGCCACCTCATAGTTGGGGTTAATGACAACCTGGGGGAGAGTCAGGTCAGACTGGCTGCCGAGTCCTGCCTCAGCCACCCGCCACCCCAGTGCTTTGCTGAGACCAGTCCTGCCTCCAGAGCGGGGACCTTACGAAAGGGAGCCTGGCAGACACTGTGCTCCAAGAGAAGCTGGGGCAGAACTGGCCAGAGCTGAGGTCAGGGAGGCAGGGGGCAAGTCCCGGAGGAGTGAGATATCTGTGCGCCTCAAGGTAACCTAGCTACCCAAAGCAGCACTCAGAAGGTCTCCCTTGCCTGGTGCCCTGGGACGCCTGAGGCTGGTAGAGGCAGGAGTTGGGGTTTGGGGAGGGCACAGAACAGGCTGCTGAGGAACAGAAGGCAGTTGGGGATCAGGATGTGCTGAGACAGGGTGGGGACAAGGACACGAGCTGTGGGAAATGGGAGAAGGGCTGCCCTGAGCACTGGAGACCAGACGTGGTTCCGGGTGGTGTGACTGAACTGTCCCTCCCACTGTCCGGGCCTTGGTGCAGCTGTCTAGGCCATCCCGGAGCCTCCCTGCTCGGCCTGAGCTCGGGTGCAGACTGGACGCCTTGCACTCCCTCCTCTGATCACCCCAGCTAACAGGGCAGAGCCCAGAGGAGCAGGAACGGAGGATCATCGTTTAGAGAGGGTTCTGAGTGGACAGAAAAGGGAGGTTGGAGGTGGGGAACCCAGAAGAAAGGAGAAAGAGGAGAGGGGGTGGGAAAGAGACAAAAGCTGTACCTGGCTGTGGGTGAGGTACGGGGACAAATGACAGATCTTCCCTTGAGGGCCCTGACAGCCATGTGGGCGAGGGGGATGGTGCTACCCTGGGTCTGTTAAGGACCCTTCCCTCCAGGAGGGCTTGGGCAGGACCCTTCAGGAGGCTGGCTGGGCCTCCCAGAGGTGCTGTGGGAGTCAGAGGCCAGCACAGCCTGCCTGAGTCCTGGCCCAGTGCTGGCCATGCTGGGGGCTGCCTCTGGCCCTGCTCGCCAGAACTACTTAGGCTGTGTCCCACTTTGACACTGTCTCTTCTGCTGAGGCTGGTAAACGTCCCACTCTGGGATGGCCCTACTTTGATCTTTTTTATTCAAGAACCTTAGCTGTCCCCTGTCCCCTACCCCCAACCCACACATGGCTCATAGCGCCGGGCGAACAAACCCCGCACACTGGGGTCTGTGCAGCTCCTTGCTCACGGACAGCTGCACCCCAGGGAGCCCATCCGGGATTCCCACAGTGCAGCCACAAGGGCAGCAGGCACAGCATGGGCTCCTCAGGGGCCACCAAGTCAGCTGAGCCACTTGGGGTCAGGGGTGGGGGCTGAAATGTGTGGTCTCCACGATCCCATCTGACTCTCATCCTACGATTCTAAATCTCATGAGGAACTGTGGGGCGTGGCTTTAGTTTCTTAGAAGATCTGCTCTGAGTCCAGGAAATGGTGAGAAGGAGGCCCCTCTGCCTGGAGCACTTGGCCCTGGCCTGGCTCCCCCCCCCCCCCCCCCCCCCCCCGCGTGCAGCGTTACTGATGCCTGTGTGGGGTCCACGTGGCAATGGAGAGGGCCAGGGAACCCCAGGCCAGGGCTCTCATACAACTAAAGTTCTGTGTCTACCCCAAGGGAAATATCCGTTTTTATTAATCAGGGGTATTGACATGCCCATAATGAGTTAATCTGTGAATTGTATAGTTTACGAATCAAGAACAAAGACTAGAGAGTTGATGTGAGCAGGGTTTGCCTGGCTGTCTGAAGGGGTGCTAGTGATGGCCGTCAGCAGTGATGACACAACAGCGCGTGCACAGGGCTTCAGCAGGGACTGGCTGCCGTCAGTCTTCACCGAGCCACCATTACTACATCGATGGCATTTGTCAGAACAGAACACACGGTGATGCACATTCACCCAGCACAGTGATAGCAAACCTCACATGCAAACCACCCTCCACGGTGTACGTGCAGAGACACAGAGGTTCATTTTTTAAAACACAGAGCACTCTGCTCTTTGGTTGGGCCTCTCCAAGTCTGCGGTTTTGGGCTTCTGGGTGGAAAAGTGCTTGGCTGTCTGATTTCTAGCCTCTGAAATTGCCCAGGGAGACTTTCAAAGCCCCTCTGTGGTCACTTTTCTGCAGGTGTTGGTCATCCAGGGCTGTCTATAGGGCAGGGACTGTGGGCCAGGCCCTGGGCTGCTGAATGCCCCCTTGGGAAAGCTTTCCAGGCACATTTACACATTTCTGGTCACCTACTTTGCCACCCATGGGGCAAGTTGGAAAGCAAGACGGTGGGGCTGGGGGGAAATGAGAGGCTGTAAGGAGACTCTGCAGGCACACGTACACCTGTGCACTGGGAGGGGAGACAGGCGCCCCCCGGTCTTCCCCACCAGTCAGGGCCCTGGCTGAAGCACGAAGCCATCTGTAGGAAGGGGGGAGGCCAAGGCCCCTTGGTTTCTCCCCACGGCTGGCCTTCCACCCAGAAAGAGTATGTGGAGGCCTTAGCAAGTGTCCACAGTCACTGGACAGGCTATCTATAGTGAAAAACATTCTACCGTTATACATTCATTTCTTTGCATTGAGAATGGACCCCTCTGCAGATCCTCTTTTAGGAGGCAAACATTTCTGGGAGAGGCAAACACAGACATATGTGTGTAATAGCCTTTTTCTGAGATTGCTTTCAGCCTTGACAGCATAGAAGGCAGGGTGACGAGCAGGGTGAAATCCAGTGGAGGGGAGAGTGTAGCTCTACAGGAAGCAAAAGCACAGGTGGCCTTAGAGTCTGTGGGACGAATTCCTGTCCTGAGGACCAAATCTGGCTACAGATCCATTTTGATTTGAAAGCACCAGATGTTAAATTGAGGGTGAATATCTCAGGAGGTCCGCAGTCCCACTCCTCGCCCACCCTGGCCGGCCTGCCTCACACGCTCAGGTTCCCGGACTGACTGCCCGGGGCGGGGCTCTCGCACTTTGGGCAGCTTAGCCTCCACACACGTTCTGTTTGGGCATCAACAGAAAGGAGGCTGCCTCCCCTTTGCTGGGAAAAAGACTCTTCCTTCCGTCAGCAGGGGCCTGGAACTCCTTTCCACACCCTCACCTGAAACAGGTAGTCTCCAGGAGGCACGTCGGTGATGTCCACCCACTGGCAGTCGATGTCATGGCGGTACACATCCCAGCAGCCCATGGTGATCCCCTGCTCGCCGAAGTTGGCACACTCGTAACTCTTCTGGATGTCTGCAGGCAGGTGCCGAGGGAACCCCAGTCACTGTGTACACATGGTGCTTCTGCCCTCTGTGCCACCGTCCCCACAATGGAACCCAAACAACCCTACTGGGCAGGTAACATCCCCAGATGCCACCCTCAGCATCTCGCTTCCTTTCCCAAGCCTCCCAACCTCCGCTTCATCAGGGCTCAGCATCCCACCCCCATTATGTCTGATCCTCTCTCCTTTCGATGGAATCCCTTGCCCGATTTTCTACCCACATCCCAGCACTCCTTTCAGATCCAGCCAGAGTCCCCCTCCTCCAGGAAGCCTTCCCTGGCCACTCCAGCCCACTGTGGCCTTTCTGAGGGATCATCAGCCTAGGAACAAAGCACGCCCTTACCCGGAAAAGCTTCGGCATGGATCATTTAGCTTAATGTGGGGTCATCTCGTCGCTCTCGGGACAATCAGCACTTGAATTTGGGCTTGGGTCTGGTTTGTCTGTCTGACCCTTCCTGGATCAGCCACTTGTACGGCACATAGTAGGTGCTCAAAACTCATTTGCTGTGTGGTTTCATGGCATATCAGTGGCAGTCACATTTATTGAGAGGCTGCCACGTCAGGCACTATTCTAAGCACTGGGTGTACCATGAAGAATCACGTGTCTCCCCTTGAAGAGCCCCAGTCATGCCAGGACGGTGGGTGCATCCACAGTGCAGGTGGAGCGGCCCCCTAGCTGTGTGAGTAGGGGCTGCTGCCTGGGGGAGCTGAGAGAGTCTGGGGCTTGTTGAGCTCGAAGTTGACTGGTAAGAGCTTGTGGAGCTGGGCATGTGGCATTGGGCCACAGGGAGAATGGCTGTGGCAGCCAGAGTGGGAGGAGACTGTGTCTGATCCAAGGGTTTGGGCCTTACCTGGGAGTTGGTGTGGCCACACCAGAGCTCAACAGCATAACTGTGGGGGATCCAGGCACCTTTATAGCCAGGCCTTGCCCACACCCCAGCCCTAAGCATAGCCGTGGAGGCCCCCATAGGAAAAGGTCACATGGAGAGTCAGCAGGGCCAGAGTCCAGCATCAGACTTGGGCTCTGGGCTGTGTGGGCACAGCTGTTACCACATTTGAATCCCTCTGCAGCCCCCCAGCACCCCTACAAAGATACCTCCTTCACATTCTGTGTCCTCCAAGCAGAAGCTGGCTTTGTGGCCCTCTGCCACCTTGGTGCCATTGAGGTTCAAGAGATCGTAGTGGGTGAACACTTCCATGCTGTGGTAGTGCCTGGAGCAGAAGACAGGGCCTGGGAGTCAGTTCGGGGAGCTCTGCCTGGCTGGCGATTTGCTTCTGAGGACACCTTGAGTGGCGTGGTCCAAAGGGGTGGCCAGTGGGAGAGGAGAGGGTGACCGCATAAAGTGGTACCATGGTGATTATGGGGCAGCAACTCACCTTCCCGGGCCTCAGTTCTCTCATCAGCTAAATGGGGATAATAACGGGGCGCATGAGGTGCTGTGGGAGTCAGTGAGATGAACTGATGAGCACAGGGCCTGGCATACAATAAGCTCAATCGACTGAGACATTCGTACTAAGTGCTTCTAATACCCACCCTGAGCACCACGGTGGCTCTCACAGCCCTTCCCTAACTGGTGCACTCTCTGCAGACTGGTAAGTTACTTGTCGATGTCTTTGAAAACTTTTAAAAGTGGGAATCTGGTAGAGAGGGAACGAGGACAGAGTGGAGGCGGCGAGGAGTAAGGGGAGAGGCGGGGCAGCAGGCACTAACGTGTCCCAGGGACAGGCCGGTGGGAGGCGGGAACTGGGTGGAGGGGTGGTCAGCTGCAACTGGATGTGAGCAGCAGGAAGTCTGCTTTTGCATGGAGCACATAAAAAAGGAGGGAAAGAGTTCTGGAAGCCTGTGGGAAGGAGCAAAGCCGAGGAGAGAGTGCTTGTGCAGGCCAGTGGATCGTTTACAGCACGGTGCTCCTTCTCCTCGCTGGGAGGGGGTGGGGGTGGGGGTGGGGGTGGGGGTGGGGGAATTGAGAACAGATGCAGATTCTTGGAAAGTGATGCATTTGGTTCAGAACACACACGGAGAAACAGCGGGCCGTCCTGGGGCTCTGTGCTGGCTGGGCCGTCCTAAACTGCAACGTGTGGGTCACAAGTCTGCAACTAGGGAACCCGTTGTCTCTCTCATTATAGGGACATTTGGAAAACAGAAGACAAGGTACCAAGGCACGGGGAGCAGAAGCACTCGAGTTGTTTATGTGTGACCTGAGCTGCCTCCTGAGGACGACAGCAACAGACCCAGCTTCAGGAGTGCGGTCAGGGTCCAGCAGGAGAAACCGCAGAATAGCCAACACGGCCGACGGGAGGGCTCAGCACCTGTCAGCTCTCTCCTTACTGACCCTCCCCTGAGTAACAGGAGGAGGGTTTGTATCATCACCACCACACTGCCATTCCTACATCGATCCCAGGCCGGGGAAGCGCCTGCCCCCTGCTCCCATGCTGGCCTCAGGCTCCTCTGGAAACAGGCGTAGAGGGAAGAGGGAAGAGGGAATTAAAAAGGTAGGTTTTCAGAGAGGAAATAAGAGGTTCTTTTCCTCTTCCTCCTGTGTTTGCTTTTGCTAAAAATAGTGTCATAAGTTCCTACACTGGGCTTTTCCCAGGTCACTCATGTTTCTGGGTAGAACGATGCCGAGCCAGGGGCCACTGAGAACATTCACAAGGACTCATTTTGTGGCAGCTGAAGTAATGGTTTTGAGAGTCCCTCTTGGCTTCTCGAAGGAGCAGGATGAGGCACAAAGTCTGACTCATTGCCTAAAACATGTCTGCATCTTTCAGAGAACAGCTTCTGTTACCATGTTTACCAGCTGGAAAGACGGAAGGAAAATAGGTTCATGTTCCGTTGTCTAAACAAAACCCAGACGGAGACCACAGACAAATGGTTGTGAAGCTGCCCTCCTCCCGCTCTCTCTGCTTCCTGCAAACTTGATTTAAGAGTCTTCCTCAGCCCTTCAGTTTTTCCCCTGTGAACGCTGGGAATGGAACAGCTGGTTAGGAGCCTCCCGGCGGCAGCCCTGGAGCCTCTCTGCTCTGCCTCTCCACGTATGTGGGCATCGCCTCCCAGGGCCACATCGCCCTCCCAGCTGGTGGGCTGCGGAGCCCAGGGCCACCCCACCTCACCCCTGCACACACACCCGGAAGGTGGGAAGGCACATGCTGGTGATGAGGGTGCACCTCCTCTCTCCAGACTGAGGTGTTTCAACCTTTGGAAGTCTGAGAGGAGGACTGACCCATGGGGTAGAGATAGGAAAACTTCACTTAGAAAGAAATACCAGAACACTAAGGAGACAGAATAACCTGACACTTTGTTGTTGTTGATGTTGTTAATCCTTACCTGAGGATATCTTTCCATTGATTTTTAGATAGAGTGGAAGGGAGGGAGGGAGGGAGAGAGAGAGAAAGGAAAACATTGATGTTTCAGAGAGAGAGATATCGATTGGTTGCCTCCCACACAACCCCAACTGGGGCTGGGGATCTAACCTGTAACCCAGGTACGTGCCCTTAACAGGGACTCGAACCCGAGACTCTTCGCTCTGAGGGCCAACGCTGTCACTGCTGAGCCAAAGCGGCTAGGGCCAGAATGATCGTACACCTGAGGCGGTCACTGTAACCTGGATAAAGAAAGGACGCCTTCTGCCGAAAGGCTCCAGAGCCCAGCCTCGGAGGACACGATACTGGCAGAGGAAGGAGGTGATGAACACATGCTCCATGACAGTCAAAACCAGACTAGAGAAAGGCGGGGGGTTTGGGTATAATCTGTTATCCTAGGTCACTGAATAAAATGAAACTTTCAATCAGAGAATCAGTGTGTGTGGTTGAGGAGCCGTTCACTCTTCATCCGTTCCCACACAGCCACCTGTCCCCGTGCCCCGGGATGGACAGTCCGGCTGGCTCTCAGCTGTGGTGGGGCAGTGCTCTTGACCCACTTGAGGGTGTTCTAATCTCAGGAGGTGCTGCCACACGGGCAGGGACACTTCCGCTCACTCCATCCTACCTTCCCGAGTGCTTGGCAGCCCCCCGGCTGGAGCAAGCCCCACAGATGTGCTGAGGGCCTCCATTTGGCTCACAGAGGCCACATCACGTTTCTGGGGCTTTGATCCCAGATGGGGACTCCCCCACACGTGGGGGAGGCAGGGTGGAGTGAACAGAAGTATCCCCTTTGTAGCAAAGCCATCCCTGACTCGGGGGGCTGGCACCTGTGCTGGGTGTCCACCTTCCCACTTCCCCAGCTCCCAGCAGCTCCCCAGGCTTCCCCAAGGTGGGAGGGCAGCCCCGAGACACAGCTCTGCATCCTGGTGTGCGTCTGTGCCCAGCCTGATCTGTCCCTGTCAAAGCTGTGGCATGATATGCCAGGTAAGCTGGTTTGGCCCCCTTCCTGGGGGCGCAAGCAGCAGGAGGGGACCTCTTCAAGATCACCAACCAAGGACAATGCAGATGAGAGAGGAGACACAGGGCATTGTCCTCTATGTCTGGTAGGCAAGGAGACTCCTAAGGGGGTCAATCTTTGTGTCATCTTGGGGCTTTCAAAGAACATAGCCCTGTTTCTCACTGTAGCACCAAACTGGGAGTTATTGTATTCTTATTTGCACTAATTTGAGCCAGGGTTCCCAACACTGGATCCACAGATGGGCTCAGAGGATCTGTAAATCTGCTGACTCAGGATGTAAAATATTCTAGAGAAAGTAATTTTTTTGAGTGAAGGAAGGACCAGCTTTCATTAGACTCCCGAGGGGACCCAATGAAGGTTTAGGGCCGGGAGTGCTGTTAAAAGGTCCTCCCACAGCACCTGGAGGAGCCCCGAGCTGGAGGCTGGGCTGGGGTTCTCCCAAGCTCCCTGGGATCCTATGGTCACAGGTTCTCAGTTCTAGACCAGCAAGGGAGGTCCGAAGGGACATATACTTAGCCACATATCCTTCCCCACCTACCCCTCCCAAATCATTTACTGGAACATCTGTAAGCGAAGAACTAACACAGACCCCAGGCAAAGCAGGGGCGGGGTGCTCAGAAGCAGCCTCAATGTCACCATGTGTGCGCGGAGGAGAGACCATTCCCGGGAGAGCAAGCCTGCATCACACAGTCGCCTACCCTGTGTCGTCTGGGTGGATCGTCATGTGTGCGGCAGAGAAGCAATTATCTTCTACTTATAGACGTGTGGGCAGCGTCAGCCACAGGCCCGGGCTTCCACCATGTGTTCCCCAAGGAAACCAGGCACCGATATGGTCATGCCTTTCATTTTACCCTTTGACCTGCACCCCACACAACACTGACATGCTTCTATATAAAGAGCAAATTTCTTTGGCTGAGTAGGACTTTTGGGACAGACAGATGGTCATTGTAAAGGAAAGTCAGCACTCTGAGTCCTGTCCCAGTCCTTCCTTTGAAATGAGTTGAACATCTCTATCTCCAAACTGATTCGAATGTGATGAGGCCATCATAAAGCAGATGGAAAGACTTCTGATGAAGGGTCAGCGGATCCTTCACCAGATAGAGTGCACACTTTGGGGTCAGACGGGTCCGAGTTGGGATCCCTGCCTGGTAACTTCTTGTGTCACATGAACACCAAGCCCCCATTTTCTCATCCGTGAAATTGAGGGTGCCCCGTGCCTGGCACTGAGAGGGGGTCAAGAAACATCAGCTCTTGTGCCCCTAACAGAGATCATTGAATTTTAGAGCAAGAAGGATAGCTGCAGGTGAGCTAGATGGGCTTCTCAGACCAGGATGTGCACAGAGCACCGCCCGGGTGCGGCACTGACGCAGACATGCCAGCCCACGGGCCGCCGGGAGAGGCAGGGACCAAATGCAAAAGCTCTGTCATGTAGCCCAGGGACTGAAGGGTTGTGGTTTCAATTCCTGATCAAAGGCACATATCTGGGTTGCAGGTTCGATCCTTGGTCCTGGTTAGGGTTGTGCAGGAGGCAACCAATCAATATGTCTCTCACATCAATGTTTCTGTTTCTCTTCCCCTCCCTCCCTCCCTCCCGCCCTCCCTCCCTCCCGCCCTCCCATTCTATCTAAAAATCAATGGCAAAAATATCCTCGGGTGAGGATTAACAAACAAGGACAAAACAAGCTCTGTTGTGTAGATGGGATTCTGAGCATAGAGATGGTCACTCACAAGATGGGCACTCACTGGACCCAAGTCTTTGACCCCTCAGGGGACTGCAGCCGCCATGCTGAATGGCAGGGGCCTCCCTCCCTTTGTGTTAAAAAGTGTTCTCATTCCTGTCCCTGCACAGCTCAGGTCTGAGCAGGAGAATGTGAACAGCAGGGGCAGCAGATTCTAGATGAGAGTAAGAATCGGGCAAAGGAAAGAGGAAAAGTCCAGGAGATGAAGGTGGTGGCTTCCATTGGCTCCAGCTAGGGCTGGCTCTAGGGTTTCACTCTGTTCTTGTTCAGGATTTATAGTCCTGGAATCAGAGGCCTGGAAGGGACATTAGCTGTCTTGAGTGATGTGGCCCAGCTGTCCTGGAATCACACAGCTGGTAAGAGGCTGGATGGAGAGAGCAGGTCTCATGACTCCTGGGGCTAGAACGCTTATCTCCAAACCCACTTCCTTCCTAGAAATATAAACTGATATTTAAAATATATTTATAAATGAACTCAGAGTCCATTCATTGCAGACCCCAAGTACCCTGCAGAGCATGAACTTCCTGTGGACACACTTGAAAACCACTGCCTGAGGTCAATGGAGGGCATGGGGTACCACTCACAAAGTTTGTTTCCTAATGTTAGAGGAACGGAAGGCAAGAGAGAGAATGGGCTCGGGAGGGGAGGGGTGCCAGGGCCACTGGGAGGGGAGGACCGATGCCCTCCAACTTAGGAAAACCCTGTCCCTTGGACCATGTGGCCTCTCTAAGTGACCCTGTGACTCTCAACCCCGGATCCCTGCAGGATGTTGGGCTGGGAAGCTGAGGGACAATGGAAGGCAGGCCTTACCTGTGGCAGTCATGCCAGATCCACGCATGGCGGCCGTTCTTGGGCCGGAAGTCGGACTGGCCATTGTTGTGGATCTGGGAGGAGAAGCGCAGCAGCCGCCGGTAGCCTGTGGTGGGGTTGGTCTGGGCAGCCGAGGCCGAGAGGCAGCTCTCCTCCATGGCGCACTGGAGCATGAACATGGGCCGGTCCTCCAGGTAGGTGCTCTGCTGGACAATCTCCGCGTTGAGGACCAGGTCAGGGGCGGCTGTGGAGGGCAGACACGGTGTTCGAGCAGACACAAGACCCCTCACCCCTTCCCAAGTACTTGACTTCCGATTCCTGAACTGGGACAAACCCGGGTCCCTGCCCAGCACCACCTTTCGAACCGACTCATGGTCTCCCTCTCAAGGTCACCTTCCTTGAGAAACGCCACCCCAAATTCCTGTTCCCTTCTGAGTGTCCTCTTGGGCACCTCTGCAGCTGCCAGTGAAGATGGGCAAAACGCTGGAAGTTGAGCAAACTGGGTGATGGGTACCTGAAGATTCATTATTGTATTCACTCTACTTTTGAGTAGCTTGAGCTACTCAAACAATAACAAGGACGATAACAATGTTCTCTCTCCTAATACCTAGTCTGATTCCCCTGGGAGTGATACAGATCTATTTCCCAACACATGTAACACTGTATGTAGATTTATAGTCCGTTAATACTGTTTCCCTTCACATATATCTTGACACACTCCCTTGTTAATAAATATCCATTACAACATTCAAAACATGGCTACATAAAATTTAATTCATAACCCTAGCCCATATTTTTAGATACACTGGTTGCTTGGAATTTTTCCCAGTTAAAGCTGCTATAAACACCCCGTAGTAAATGTCTATATAACTAAAATTATTTCTCTAGAATATATTTCTATCTGTGAAATTGCTGGGAGGAAGAGTTGCATATTTTCAAGGCTGATGCATATTGCCAATCACCTTAACAGGTTCTTCCAGGTTCCACTCACACTGGATCTAGGCTTGAGTTTTAAAAGTACATCTTTTAAAACAGGATGGATTTACTCAAGTAGCACATTGTACATAGCAGATGTTTAAAGTTTACTGATGGCTACAATCTATATTTAGTGTATAACTGTATTAGGTTTTACTTCTTTGCAAAATAATTAACTGTAAGTTTCCCTTTAAAAGTGAGATTCCATTGGACATTTCTAGTACCTGTCATTTCACACAAAAAATGTTGTATATGAATTATTTACAACAAGATCCATCTGTCTTTTATTTTCTGACAAGTTGCTTGTAAATCTGAAGTGCACGTGAAGGAGCACACAGGTGGGGGTGGGGCTGGGAGTGAACACAGCAGCCAGGACGCTCCCATCGGCAAGAACTCTTTCCTCTTGGTGGCCAGCGCCAGGATGTGTGCTGAGTGTTCTGGGCACTTTTATCAGAGGGCACTGAGAGTCTCTTATTCATTGTCTGTACACTGGTCAGTACCCAATGGACCCTCTGGGCTGAGCAGAGGGTTCTCTATCGGACCCTCCCCTTTCTGGGAGGAGGCCAGCTCTACCTCCAGCCACATCGTCTTAACATAATGTGGCCAGCACTTAGCTGGCACCTGGGGCTGTGCTCTCAGCACCTGCCATGGGACAGGGCCTTGACCTCCCTGACATCCAGAGCAGCCACCAGAAGCTCAGTGGAGACATGCAGTATCACCCACGTTCCAAGTATTATGATGAACACTGCGCTAGGCACTCTGGACACTCCTATTCTAGCAGGAGGGACAAATGGAAGCAGTGTTCATTAATTACAATTGCTGCCAGAGCTTGAAGAGATATGGGATAAACTGGGAATTATAACAAGGGACCCAGTGTGGGGGAAGTCAGGGAAGACTCCCTTGGAGGCAGTTACGTTTTAGTTGTTCCCTGGAAGATGAGCAGAGATTAGAAGAAACAACTCTAAGGCATGAGGATAGGGAGAGCATTTCAGGCCAAACAAGTGGCACATAGCAGGCCCCTGAGACATGAAGGAGGGCAAAGCCCATGTGGTCTGGACACTAAGAATGGGGGTGGCCCTGCATTCACCAGAGAGCAGTGGAAAAGCTTGGCTGGAGTTTGAATGGAAGGGGGTGTGAGTGGGAGACAGGTATTGGCTCTGGCTTCACGGAGGTCAGGGAACTGAGAGCACGTGTCACTGTGGGGACCCTAGTGAGGAGCCCCGCGGTAACAGTGTGGAAGGCAGTCAGAGGGATGGCAGGAGGTAGAGGGAGCTGAGAAAATTCAGAAAGGTAAAAACTGACATGGACTGAATATGGGCGTGATGAGGAAGAGAGGGAGATGGGGAGGACTTGCAGATTTGGAACATGTGAAATGGGCTCGATGGGAAAAAGTGACTACAAAGGATTGCCTAAGGAATATACTTTACTCTCTGCACCAAGTATTAAGTCAGATCAGCATTTCTGGCCCAAATGGCTCTTGCCCACTTGCAGACTCTGGGTGATGCCTTCAGCCTGAGTTGAGGGTTCTCTGAGCAACAGCCCCATGAAACTCATTTTCGATCTGCCATGAGGATGTTGAGGGCATTGTTTATCTAATAACTCTTAGTCCTCATAATGAGAATTTTCTTCAAGCTCCTCTTGATTCATGAGTTTGCTTCTATCTCATGGATACTGTGAATTATATTAATGAACAGGTTTTCCTCTTTCCTTTGGCTGTTAGGAAGCTCACTGTGAAATTTACAACCTCTCTGTAGTAAGAGTACAGGATTCTATAGTATATATTTTGTTTTATTAACCTCTCTCTTGGATCCATTTGGAGCCAATACCTTTTTGCCAATATCTACTTTTCTTTCGTATGCTTTTATTTTATGATACCTTGAATTTTATTTAGGTTTATGTTATCTAAATTTTCTTTTGGGGAAAAAATGGTATATTACAAATAAATATTATACAAATACAAATTCAAATATTATAAATAAATTAATAAGCCAAGAAAAGGCCCCTAACAGCAGTGAGGCCACTTTTCTCTGCTTGGATGTATTTCCCATGGGGGGATGGTAGGGGTGCCGATCGCAGTACCTCCTCTCAGACAGGAGGCAATAGCTTGGGATGTCTGCCCAAAGAAGCCAGAGCTGGCTCCAGGGTCCTGCTTTACAAGGGTTAGGAAATGCTCAGTGAGTCTTAAAGGGGCTGATGGGAGAATCGAACTGACGGAGCCTAAGGTTGATTCTCCCTAGTCCTCCCTGAGGTAAAAGACAGTATCTGCATATATTCACTGTCATATTTAATTTTCAGTTTCTAGAAAAAACAACAGCTGTAGCTCATTGCCAAGACCAGCAATAAGGCCAGTGTGTCCTGGTTGGTTGGAGCATCATCCAGTACACCAAAAGGTGGCAGGTTTGTTTCAGTTCAATCCCCAGGTTGGGGAGTGTATGGGAGGCAGCAATTGATATTTCTCTCTCTCTCTCCCTCTCTAAGAAATCAATTAATCACTGGCTGGTTTGGCTCAGTGGTTAGAATGTTGGCCCATGGACCAATGAGTCTTAGGTTTGATTCTGGTCAAGGGCACATACCTGGGTTGTGGTTTGTTCTGGGCCTTGGTTGGGTTGTGCGGAAGCAATCAATAGATGTGCCTCTCTCACATCAATGTTCTCTCTCTCTCCCCCTCCCTCCCACTCTATCAGAAGATAAATAGAAAAATATCCTTGGGTGAGGATTAAAAAAATTAATTAAATATCTACCCTTGGGTGAGGATTAAAAAAAAGATCAGCAATAAGTGGCAGGCAGGGTCTGGTCTCAGGTTGTTGGGCCAGACCCCCGCCTCTCCTGCCTCCCTGATTCACAGGGCGTGGTTTAACAAGGCCAGGGTTGGGGGAGCGGGCTTGGGGATGAGGAGAGGGACGCACTACAGGCCGTGCTCTGGTCCTCTCTCAGCATGGAAGGGAAGCTTCACAAGCTGGGTCATTCTGAATCCTAGCGGACTTTCCCTTCTGTATTTTCAGTCTTTCTACAATGCCCAGGGAGTCACCAGGAAGCTAAATCGCTTCCAGGGTGTGAAAGAGAAAATGCCCTAAGGAGGAGGGCGGAGGAGAGAAGGCCGGTGTGCACCCAGCGCCTACCGTGAGCTTTATGCTTCACTAACCTCAGAACCACCCCAAGGAAGGTGCTCTCTTCATCATTAACTGCTAAAAACAAGGAGTTCTCAGCCACGGAATTGCCCAATAGTCTACAGAGGCCCTGAGATGTGAACCTGAGGCCCCCAGACACCCCTCCTGCTCCCCCTGCTTTCTTCCATCCCGCCCTGCCATCAGCAAGGTTCTGTGGTTGGGGTTGGTGGAGTCCCTTTGCCTTTTGTCCCCAGCTTCTCACCTAAGGAGAATTAACCCCTGATTTCCTTTTTGCTCGGCTCATGGCAGAGGCCCCAGAGCCGGGCCAGGAGCCTGGCAGGGAGGGTGGGCACAACCCCAGGAACTCTCACTTTCTGAGCAGGCGACTCCGGCCCCATATTGCATTCCACCCTGGGGGCAGGCCACGTCCTCGTCGTGGCGGCAGTGCACGAGGGACAGCTCCGTTCCCGAGCACTTCACTCCACTCATGACCACTTGGTTGGCATTGATGTTTTCGTGCCAATACCAGGTCTCCTGGAGAATTAACAAAAGAAATGGCCAGTATTTTACCTTGAACTATCAGTTTCACATATTCAATCAACATTCAGCCTCACAAAAGTCTCAAAGCGTTATGATCCCATTTTCCAGATGGAGACAGTGGAGGCACAAAGAATCACTCACCCAGGTCATGCAGTTTGTTGGTGGCAGAATGAGTGAGAATCCAGGTCTTCTGGTCATGAGACTTGGATTCTGTCACTCCCCCATTCTGGAGTGCATCGCTTTGGTCAAACAGCCTTTCAATGTTAGGTGTCAGGAATGGCAGTCACTGTAACCCATGGTGCCACTGACTTATCCTGAGCCCAGGACAGACTTCACTAATCAATAACAGCACTCTCTCCTCTAAGCCTGACTGTGATCTCAGAATCCTCTCAGACCCAGATGTCTTAGGAATGAGCTGACAGAACCAATAATGGCGCAGCCACTACGTTGTAACAAGCTCTGTTTTTCTACTCTCCTTTGAGAAAGAGAGTACCCTGGCTTGTCAAAGCAGAATTAGCAGAGATACTATGCTGCCCTGGGAAGCGGGGCTCCCAGAGGGTGTGGGCAGCAGTGCCAGAGGCTCCCGACTCGCCGCTGACCCTGGACCTGGCCAGCAGTCAGGCTCAGGAAAGCTGCCAGAGTTCCTCCATGTCACCATTAGAAACCCTCTTCCCAAGCAGGGCCACCTGGGCACAGGAGCTGGAGTCAGGGTTAGCAAAGTGGGGGGTGGGGGTGCTCCAGCCATTTCACACTCTGTGAGAAGCTTAAGGAAAGCGTTTAGAGCCAGGATACTATGGACCTGGGACTATTCATTCCATGTCACAGGGATGAAAAATGAGGTCTGGAAAGGTGACTGCTTTGCCCCAGACCATTGTGCTGTGGGCTGTGGGAGCAGAGCTGGGAATAGTTTCTGAGCCTTCTGTCTCCTGCCCCTCACCCCCAGCCTCTTTCTGACACTGTTCTACTCTGCAGGCACCTGTTCCCTCACAGTAGGGTCCAGAGGGAATACTTTTTGAAGCCAAACGCTACTGTCTTTCTTCTGCTGCCTTTCGATAGGGGCAGGAGCTTGGCTGCCCTCTGCTGAGTCACTCTCTTGGAGGAAGGGGCTCCTTCGAGGAGGGTGCAGCATCGTGACAAGGGTTATGGATGGGCTTGGAAATTTAGCAGCTCATCAACTGGAGGATGCATGAGCATGGACGACAGCCAGGAAGGTGTTCTGGCCAGAGGCGCCTCCAAGGAGCAAGCTAAGGCACATGGCATGTTGGGCCTTGGCCTGGATCATCTCCACTAGCCGCTAGGACTGAGTTGCTTCCCTCCGCAAAGGGCACATAAGGACATTCCCAGATTAGCCGTCATCCTAGGGTGAATCCCAGTGTACAAAGCTGAGTAGACTGGGAAACCAGAGTCTAGGCCCTATTCTTCAGCAAGGAAAGTGGCAGGGGTCGGGGTGGGGGTGACCTGCCCAGGGACTCAGAGTTAGGAGGGGCAGAACTGACGCCAGGATGAAGTTCCTGCCTCCAGCCCACAGCACTTGGCTCTCCTCCTGGGCCCATGGAAGATGGGGCAGACTGGAGGTGAACAGGATCAGACTGGATGGACGGGGCTGAAGCTGGGGCTTCTCACCTGGAAGGCGTTGCTGGCGAACCCCAGGCCCAGCTGCCGGCAGACCACCATGGCCTCCACAATGCCCCAGTTCTCGCCACACACCGTCCCCCACACGAGGGACCCATTCCTCGCCACCAGCACCTCCACCCGGCCCTCGTAGGGATTCCGGCCCCCGTTCAGGCGCAGCTGTAGAGAGAGACACAGGAGTGGTCATCAGGAGGGGATAGAGAGGAGCAGCACCACTGTATGACCATCAGTGCCAATTTTCCCACACGGTCCTGCCTGGGACACAGTCAGATTCAACAGCATCACTGAGAGCCTAGTGTGTGCTGGCATCATGCCCACATGGCCTTACATATTAGGTCCCGCTGTAGGCATCCTGGGGTCCTAGCCTTCATAGCCCAGCGGCCCATGGGCCACAACTGAGTACCACAGCAGCATCTGCCTCTGCTCCCCGCTGCTCCCCATGAGTCCACAAGTGGGGGCTGCTCTTACAGTCAGACACTTGGTAGGATGTGTTCAGGGCCCTTAAAAATATTAGAATTCCCCAAGATTGCTTCCTGAGCCCTCTTCTCAAACACCCTCTTCCTGGTTGGTTCCAGCTCCCGATCGCGTCTCCTCCTACAGCGTCCCCTACTGTCCTCTCCACCCAGAACAATCTTTTGAAAACAACAGAGCTAATTGCCTACTTAATAATTACACTTGGCACCTCTGAGCCCCTAATCTGAACCTGTCCTCTTTTCTCTCTCCACCTAAACCCGTGCTGTATCTGCTCCTTGTCCCCTATTTCAGCTAAAGCTACTACCTGTCCTGGCGCAACTTAGTATAGAGGGCCAGCCGGGAAGTCCGTTCGGTTTTGTGGGCCACGTGCTCTCTGTCGTAAGCACAGCTCTGCCATGCAGTGTGCACACAGTCATGAGTGACACTTGAATGACTGGGCATGGCTGTGTTCCAATAAAGCTATATTTACAAACACAGGCAGGGCCATGGCTTTGGCCTGCAAGCTGTGGTCTGCTGATCCCTAATCAATTCTGTTATACAAGCCAGAAATCTGGGAATCATCTTCAGCATTGCCCTTTCTCTCGTTCCCCAAATCCTGGTGGATTTCATCTCCCAAATCTCTCTCCAACCCACCCCCCTCTCCCAGGCACCATCATCTCTTGCCTCTACTCTTGCCTTCATCCCCTTCAAAGGAAAGAGAGAAACCTGTTCATTAATATAATTCACAGTATCCATGAGATAGAAGCAAGCCCAATGGTCAAGAGAAGCCCATTCTCTACTCAGAGAAGCGAGTCATCTTTAAAAACACCTGATCCTGTCGCTCCCCTGCTTGGAACAGGTCAACAGCACCCCAGCGCTCCCCTGTCATCCTCTGCTGCCTGTCCCACGTCTCCCTCATCCCTGTTCCCCCACCTTCAGTTTCCACGGCTCCCTAACTTTCTTGACTATGTCCCACAGTAAGTCACACATTTTACATGGACTCTTTCCTGGCTGATCTTATTCCTCTTTCCAATTTCATACCCACTGACATTCCCCTCCGATTGAGGTCAGTGTCCCCTTACATTCTACGGCTCCCTATTGTGGTGCAAGCCCTGACAGTTGGGTTTTCTCTTTGGTGTAAGGCAAGTGCCTGACTTAAGCTTTGATTACTGAATCATCTCCTTCCAAGAAGGCTGTCTCAAATAAACACATTGCCAGCCACTGGACTGCATTCTGCCCACTGAGTTTCCTTTGTTTCAGAGATCTTGGTTGATTTTTACAACTGACCATTTGGGCCACTTGTGTTTTCTCTTCCTGTGCTTTAAAATCCCTCTCTTATGTTTTACATTCAGTAATATGAAGTGAGCCCACAGAACCCTCGGTTCCCACCCTTGACCCCAGTAAAATCAGAATCCCAGCCCTGAGCACACACTCTCTCTCTACCTATGTCACCGTGTTGCCCCAGGTGCGCCGTGTAATTTCTGTTCTTTTTTTTTTAATCCTCATCCGAGGACATTTTTCCATTTTTTGTTCAGGTAGAGTGGGAGGGAGAGAGAGGAACAGAGAGACAGAGAGAAACATCGATGTGAAAGGGACACATCGAGTGGCCGCCACCCGCACGACTGACCAGAGCCGGGGACAAACTGCAACCGAGGTACATGCCCTTAGCGGGAACCGAACCCGGGTCTCTCAGGACCGCAGGTCAATGCTCCAACCGCTGAGCCAAACCGGCCAGGGCTAATTTCTGTTCTGTAAGTAACAAACCTTTATGTTTTCCAAGTTCTCTGATGGCTATTGCCGAAGGGTATCTTGCAATCATAATAAGGACCACAAGAGCCAGACCAACCACAACACAGGTTATTGATAGGCTGACACCAGCACAAAACACCTATACATCCTTAGCATCTGTGACGATTATAATTAAGCTACTTTACATCTGCTTTCCTGTGTGAGCAACATCAAAGACATCACCTCAGCAGTGTTAGGTACTCCACAACTATTTTTAGAATGAATGAATGAATAAATAATCAGTCTTATGAAATGAAAGCATGGGCCTACTTATATGAGCTCAAGCAGAGAGATCTGAAATTTGGGGAGGGGTTCTAAAATGTCTTAATCCAAATACCTTACCTTACTGCCTTTTATGCTTCTAACAATTCATGCCTTTGGGATAAGACACGACACCTCCAGGAATCCTTAGCACGTTAAATTGTCTGGTCAACAGTCCTCAGCAATAGCAAAATAGCTGACCAATCCTTAGCAACAGCAGGACCCTTGGGGCATAGGTCTTAATTCTGCCCATGGATTTAGGGGCTGCAAGAGTCAGCGAGGTCAGCCATGGTGTTCCATCAACTTCCCAGATTGCTGAGTACATGAATGAAACGAGATAGTTCACGGAAAGTGTTGAGACAGGGTCTGGCACTCAGAAAGTGCTCAAGAAATGTAAGACATCATCACAGCAATGATTACTAGCTGGGAGTCCCATCAGAAAACAAAACGCTCTTCAGAGCAGAGAGAAGGGCTCAGAACAGGCAAGAGGCCTGGCCTGCAGGAGGCCAACGCTGGTCTCCCTGAGTGCTGTGGCCGGATAGACAAAACCCGTTCCAAGTCTGTGCCCTTCATTAGCCATTCAACTAAAAGTCAACTGATTTTTCTAGGAATTATCTCTCTTACCTCCTTATTTTAGAGGGGCAAACTGAGGCCTCAAACGGATTAAGGAATCAGTGAGTGAGTGATTGTTATAAACTAACTTGTGTTCCCCCAAAATTCATATGCTAATCCCCAATTGACTGTATTTGAAGAAAGAGCCTTTCAAGAGGCAGTTAGGTAAAATGAGGTCATATGAGTGGGACCATAATCCAAAATCACTGGTGTTCTGAGAAGAAGAGACAGACACCAGGGATGTGCGGGTGCGGAAGGAAGGCCCTGTGAGAACACAGTGAGGACTCTGCAAGTCAAGGGGAGAGGCCTCAGGAGAAACCAGCCCTGCCAGCACCTTGACTGTGGACTTCCAGCCTCCAGAAGTATGTGTGAGACAATACATTTTTATTATTTAAACCACCCAAGTCTTTGGCTTAAACAATAAAACCTGCTCTTCCAGCCCCAGCAAACTAACACAGTGATAAAACTCAGGAGTCTCCACTATTCTGCCCAGAGCTCTTGCCAGTACGTCTGGGGGCCCCAAGCTGGTCATGTGGAAGCCTGATGGGCTGCCGTGGCTAGAACTGGTGCCGCCCACAGGCATTTCCTTCACAGGTGACTATCCCCACTTCCTCCCCAGGGGTCAGAAACCGCAGATGTGGGCGTAAAACTCTCCCCTGCTCCAGAGTTGGGAGCAGGGACCACCTCCTGGAGCCGGCAGGGCCCCGGAAAGGGTACGGGCTGTTTGTGCTGGGAGTTGGGCGCCTCTGCTGGTATCACTAGGCCTTGCTCAGCAATTCCCACCACAAAATCATTCTGGAAAGTTTCACCTTCTTTGGCCCAGATTTTTCATTTGGGTTGAAAACCTCACTCCACCCAACTCCAATCTGTCTGAAGTGAGTGGTGCCACAGCAAGCCTGCCTCAGGGCACATTGGCTTTTTTTTTTTGTTTTTTTGGTACATGCCCCTAGTGGGAACCGAACCCGGGACTCCCTAGTCTGCAGGCTGTCGCTCCGACTGCTGAGCCAAACTGGCCAGGGCCACGCTGGCTTTTATAGCTCTGTTATGGCTGTTAGAATGCTGTGGGCAGCATCACAGAGGGCCGGCCTTCCCTCAGCTGTGGCGCTGTGGCCCGCAGTCCTGCTCACCAGAAGCAGATGCGTGGCCTGCCCAAGTGCTGTTGGGTTCACATGTTGGCCTGCTGGGCAAAAAGTTGCACAAGATGTGTTGTGCTTGACCAGTCAGTAGTGCCTTTGGCACATTGGTGCCAACATCAAGAATCACTGTCCAAGCAGGAATCCAGCTGGGGAACCATCCTGTACCCTGATGCACCCTCCTTTGCTCATTTAAAAATAAGCACTCAAGAAGTTCTTCCAACATGCCACACACCAGATGATGCACAGACCTGACCACATTCATGGCATGATGAAGAACGTTAAATAGGATTTACTGGGCTGTTTGGTGAGATTGGATAGACTTCCCAGTAAAGAGGAAGTCATCTGTTGGCTACTCCTATGGGCAAGGTCATCCAAGCTAGGAGACACGATGTAGGTTTTTTGAGACCCCATCTCAGGACAGGAAGGTGTGTTTCTGGTTTAATGCTGTTAAGGTTCCTTTTTCTTTCCCTCTGGTTACCAAAATACTGTCTGTATTGTGCTTACACCTGTGTGATTTACAGAGGTGCTGTCAATGTGGTTCCTCTGGGTCCCTGGATAGGGCCCGTGCCAAGGGTAGCCCAGGTGCTATAGAAGTGCCGTCCCTCACAGAAAGGACGGAGCTGCGACCACACCATCCGTCTGCTCCCAGGGCGCCATGTGGCACTCAGCAGATACTCAACATCTGCCATTAAGGACAGTGGGGCTTATATGTATGTTTTCTCATTTTGACACATTTACTAATGCTGGGTGACAGTGACATTAACAGAGATAACAACAGAGCCTGAGCCCTTCCTGAGATCATTGTCAGAGCATCCTGAGACCATCTGCTAGAAACCTTCAGACTGAGGCCACCGAGTCTATACTTTCTGGGCCTCAGTGACCGAAACATTACACAGCCCCATTTATGTATCCAGTCTCTTCACCTTCTTCTGGAAGCCCATGGCAGGGATGTTGCATCTCACAGCTGCATCCTCCTCGTGGTTGCAGCCCTGGGACTCGGCGTTGAATTTGCAGTCTATGAGGGACTTCTCATTCCCAGTGCACTCGATTTCATTGAGATGGATGGGTCCTATCCCTGGAGAAGAGAATAAACACGGGCTATCAAAGCTTCTGAAGGAAAGTTTCTACAATCGGCAAGAAAACCCCAAATAATAAGAACACGCCTCTCCCGGCCCTGTCCCCTCCCCCCCAAAATAAGAACACGCCTCTCCCATCCTCAAGACTCTCCCAACTGCCTCCCACAATCAGTTCAATGATCCAGCCTTTCTTCCCTGGAGAGAATGGGTCTTAGGATCTACTTCTGCTATAAAGCTAGTGAAGGTTGTACTAATTTGTGTGACTTTGGCCAACTAACTCAGACTCCTGAATACTGGGTTTCACCCTTAAATAAAGGAGATGGACCAGAAGACATCCAGGTTTCCTTCCCAGCTTCCATCGTCCATGCACTGATGAACCTGAAAAGGGTGACGACTGCTGTCTAGTCAGGGTCCCTTTAGAAAACAGCATGCTCAAATGGGATGATCTGAAGAAAGTTAGAAAAATTGATTTTAAAAATAAAGATATGACCTGGCCAGTGTGGCTCACTGGTTGAAGGTCGACCCATGCACCAAGAGGTCACCAGTTTGATTCCCAGTCAGGGCACATGCCCAGGTTGTGGGCCGGATCCCCAGTGGGGGGCATGCTGGAGGCGGCCAATTGATGTTCTGTCTCATTGATGTTTCTGTCTCTCTCTCCCTCTCCCTTATTCTGTCTCTAAAATCAATAAGGAAAAAAAAATTATTTTAAATAAAAAATAAAGGTATGAACAGAGTGTAGGGAAATCACAAAATGACCAAGAACAGTCCAGTGTTCAGAGGCTAACAACACTGGGGCACAGACACCAGCCCCAGGCCTGCCGCAGGGAGGGCAGGGTGCCAATATCTAACCCAGGAGAGCAAAGAGCTGAATGGAAAGGCACCTGATAAGAGCTGTTGCCCTTGGTTGACAGACATAGTGGCCCGCAGGGACCTTGCAGGGAGAAGTACCCGGCCTCTTTCTTTTCCACACCTGCAGTCTTCTGCCAATGCTCCCTGCTGGACACACCCACGCCTGTCTCCCAACTGATCTTATGGGCAAGGGTGGTGAGGGGAGCTGGAGAGGCTGATGGGAGAATCCAGCAAATGATCTATGGTGAGCATGTGGAAAGCTTCTCTTACAGGCAGAGATAACGAGGGGAAGCCTCCCCCTGCTGGGGAAAAAGAATTCCCAGGCTGACGAGCACTCAGCTCAACTCAGCTCACAAAGCTACCTCTCTTCTGTCTAGCCCATCACAATAAATCAAAGTCCAGTTCTTTCCAAAGTTTTGGGCTGTATCGACTCCCATCTTGGTCTCTGTCCTGCCTGTGACCTTCTCCCTCTCCTGATTCTCGCCATTCTCCTGACTCTTATCACTCATTCAAACACCTGCTAAAATCTCCTATCTTTAGGACGACCCTCCCCTGACCCCTACACCTCCCTCTGGCTTGTCACTTTTATCCCTTTCAGGGGGAACTTCTTGAAAGTGAAATCTATGTTGTTCTCTACTTCCATAGCTAACAGTAGGATTGTTCCCAGTCTGTTTCTCCGCCAGCCCTTCCCCATCCCAGGAAACGGACCTCCACCCACCTCGTTATTCTCACCAGAACCCAGAGGTCATCTCTGGTACCATGTCCTGTTCACCAGCCGCGCTGGGTTCACTCCCCGCAGCTGAGTGTTTCACTCCCCGCAGCTGAGTGTTTCACTCCCCGCAGCTGCCGTGCACTCCTGCTCTCACGGCACGAGTTCCACCCTGCCACCTCCCACTTGGAGAATTCAACAGCCTCTAGTCTCTCTCCTGTTTTCTTATTCCAAAATATTTTCCACATGCCAGCCCAAGAGATTTTTTTACGCTAATCAAATCATGTCACTTCTTGTCCTAAATCCTTGCAAATGGCTTCTCACTGCCCTTAATGGTAAAATCCACAGTCATAGGTAGGCACCTCCATCTCTTACCACATTATATATAATACAAGTCTGTGTGAGTCTGCTTCCCCTCAGTGGCCCTGTGAAATCTGACCTCCACTTAGCCTCTGGCTCTGCCGGCTCCTCGCCCTCGGCCACATCATCTCCTTCGGTTGCTCAGCTGAGCCAGGTGTTTCCCTCCGCATGGACGCCCTGCCTGGATTGCCCTCCCAGCCCTCACCAGCTAACTCCTGCTCATCTTTCAGGGCCTCAATGCCATTTCTTTAGAGAAGCCCTTCTGACCTCATCTCAGCTAGGTCTTCTCGGGGAGCCTCCCACTGAGCCCTCTGCTCCACGTTCATTCGGGTGGCTCTCTGTTCAGGGTCTGTCTGCCTCCCCACTAGGCGAGAGGCCCCACGAGGGCAGGGGCCTGCCTATGTTCCCTTGCAATTCCCAGCCAGGCCCCGGCCAACAGGAAGAGCTGTGAATAGTGTCTGAATGGATGTTGACTCCACTGAGAACCCGCTGTGTGTTGGCCTCTGTGCTAGGTGTTGGGGACTCAAGATGAAGAAGGCGGCGTCCTGTTATGGAGAGCTCACAGTTAGTTCATGGGGGAGGCAGACACTTATGCAAAGATTTGTAATATAATGTGGTAAAAGGTGGATGTTCTTTGTTATTTTTAATCCTCACCTGAGGATATATTTTATTGATTTCAGAGAAAGAGAGAAAACACTGATGTGAGAGAAATATCAGTGAGTTGCCTCCCATAGTGCCCTGACTGGGAATCAAACCCACAACCTTTTGGTGTATGGGATGACACTCCAACCAACTGAGCCATCCAGTCAGGGCCCACCTATGTTTTGAACCCAAAGGAAGGGCCCTTGGCTCTGTCAGGGGGTTCTGGAGAAACGAGCATCTAGGCTCACTGAGGCCAAACATTAACTTCTAAGAGCAACCCATGTTATAAGAGTCAAGTTCTATTTCCTTGGAAATTCATAAGTGATGAAGCATCCAATTCCTTGGAATTTTATAAAATTTATAAAAAGTATCCATGGACTCAAGAGTAGAATGGCTGTGACAAAATACAGATCCTAAACAGGGCTCTTGAAGCAAGTGGAGTCTACAGCTCATGAACTAAGATGGGCATTGAAATGTGCAGCAACCTTAGACTCCAGTTAGATCAGACAGAATCTGTTTGATGATTGTGAGCATGATGATGATGGTGGTGAGGATGATAATGGCGATGATGAGGATGAGGGTGGTGGTGGTAAGAATGGTAGTGATGAGGATGATGATAGTGATGATGGTGATGGTGATAGTGATAATAATGGTGATGGTGATGATGCGAATGGTGATGATGCAGATGGTGATGATACGGATGGTGGCAGTGATGAGGATATCTAATATTTATTGAGAACTTATTCTGTGCTGGATACTGTTATAAACACATTGCTTCTATTAACCCATTTAATCATCACAACAAACCAATAACATGAGGAAATTGGAGTCCAAAGATTAAGTAATCAGTCCAATGGAGGAACCAGGATTCAGACTAGACAGTCTGACTCTATAGAATATCTTGCTAAGTTTCTGAAGCTTACTCAGAACAGTCAGGGGAGGAAAGCCTATGTTGGAAAAGGACAGAGGTTGCTCCAGGAAAGAGCTGAGCATTCAGAAGCGCTACGTCCTCCTGCTTCCTGGAACACCACCTCCTTTCTGCCTATCTCAGTAGAAGCCTGCCTTCAAGGAACGCCTCAAACCCGTCCTCCTCAATGGCTCAGCTTGAAATGACCTCACCCTTGTCCAAAAGTTTGGAGTATTCACTTTTTACAACTCTCACTCACAAAGCAATGAGTTGGGCAAATAAACTGATACTGAATTCAATCTGCGTCTCCTTGGGAAGTGACTGAACCTTCCTGATCTCCACTTTCCCTATCTGTGAAAAAAAAAAAAAAAGGCAATAATAGCTATCTTGCAGGGTTGAGATTTTGAGAAATAAATGAGACAAAGTATATCAAGTTACTAGAGACTCAGTGAATGGTAGGTATTATTTTCAGTATTATTTCTTACATAATCATCACTTATTTGTTAGTGTAAGTTATTCTTGGGGTTATATAATTTTTTTCTACTTGAGGTAAGCTCCTAGAGAACAGAAACAATGACTATAAATGATTGTGGAATAAATAAATTCTCCATTCCACCATCCAGCCAAAATAGTACTCAATGAGTGTTGGTGAATTGCTAGACTACAGGGGAAACATCAACATAAGAGCTTAGTATGCTTTAGAATCCAGCTAACACCTGGTTGGTCTCCTTCTGGGCCTAACTGATGTAAACTTATGTGGCTCTCTCAGACGTGGGGGATGAGGCCCAGAGAGCACAGCCCACTTTCTTAAAGCATGCATATTCATGGGACACCAAGGGCAGAGCACACAGATGAGAAAACCAGTGTTTATCACCCTCTTTTCTGCACCACCCAGCTTGGTGGTGGGTTGGGCAGGGCAGGAGGTGTCAATGGAGAGCACTGGCCTGGGTGTTCAGCTGCAGCATGACCAGTGGGGTCTGCAGGCTCCTGGCCTCTCTTGTTGACCTGGGTGTGACCTGCATCCTGATCCCCAGCTTTCCATTACTCCTGAGTTCTTGACTGTACCCTGAAGTGCTCCCCACCTCCACCTTGGCCCTGTTCTTCCTCCTTGTACAAGCCTTGGCCCAGGTGACCACAGGGAGCAAGGTATGGACTCTGGACCCACAATCAACTCTGTAGGCTACAGTCAGTGTTTAAAGAGTCCAGTTGAAGAGAATAGGACATAGCACAGTGTTTTGCATTTTGTAAAGGTTAGCACTGTTTCACAAAGTTTTATTTCAGCTTGACGTGTCTGGCGTGTACTATCATGTGTATTTCTGACTGGGGACTGCAAGGAGAAGGGTTTTAAAGCCAATGCTTTAGAAAAGTGATTTTCAACCTTTTTCATCTCATGGCACACATAAACTAATTACTGAAATTCTACAGCGCACCAAAAAATATATATTTTTCCTATTCTGACAAAAAACAGGTATAATTTTGATTCATTCACACTAGATGGCTATTGTTGTGTTGGCTGTTATTACATTTTTGTATGACAATTTAAGGGAAAAGAGGTAGGTGTCCCTGACTAAATAGTCAGGTGTTGCATGTTTAACAATTCTTGTGGCTCACCCATTGAAAATCACTGCTCTCCAATTTCCCTGTCCAATACAGTAGCCCCGGCCACACCGAACACTTGGAATGGGGCCAATCCAGACTGAGAGGTACTGTACGTGTAAAAAACACCCTGGATTTCAAGGAGTTAGTACACAAATGTCAACTATCTTGTTAATAGCTTTTTAAAATTTCATGTTGAAATAAAAATATTTCATATGTATTGGATAAAGAAATATATTGTAAAAATTAATTTCACCTGCTTTTTAAAAAAATTGATTGATTTTTTAGAGAGAGAAAGGGAGAGATAAAAACATCGATGCGATTGGTGTTAATGGAGCCAGAAAGACTCGTGTTTTGTGTTTCTTGATGAGTCTCAGCCTGGCAGATGATACTGATCCTGGAGGATGAGAGTTTTCACTCTCATTTGTGAATGGGTTAAGAAAAAAGAAGAAATACTGGTATAAGGGAAAGACAATGGATCATAATTAAACTCACACCTATTACTTTGAAAAAAAATTAAAAAAACAAAACAACATTGATGTGAGAGAGAAACATCAATCAGCTGCCTCCTGCATGCCCCCTACTGGGGACCAAGCCTGATTCTCGGGCACAAGCCCTGACCAGGAATTGAACTGGGACCTCTCACTCCATGGGATGAAGCTCAGTCCACTGAGCCACACCAGCCGTGCTCACCTGCTTGTTTTTGTAAAAATTATTTCATCTTTTTTTATATCCTCATCCGAGGACATTTTTTTTTGCATTTATCTTCAGATAGAGCAGGAGGGAGAGAGGGGGAAAGAAAGAGAGAGAAACATCAATGTGAGAGAGACACATCGACTGGTTGCCACTCAACAACTCCAACTGGGGCCGGGGTCAAACTGCAGCCGAGGTAGGTGCCCTTAGTGGGACCCAAACCTGGGACTCTCTGGTCTGCGGGCCAATACTCTAACCACTGAGCCAAACTGGCCAGGGCTTTCATCATTTTTTTTTAGAAAGAGAGGAAGGAAGAGGGAGAGAGAAACATCAATGTAAGAGCAAAACATCAGCTGTCTCCTGTGCGCCCCCTACAGGGGATTGAGCCGAAAACCCGGGTATGTGTCTTGACTGGGAATCGAACTGGCAACCTTTTGGTTCATGGGACCATGCCTAACCAACTGAGCCACGCTGGCCAGGGCTCACCTGCTTCTTTTTTATTTATTTATTTATTTAATGTGTCTACTAGAAAATGTAAAATTACTTCTAGAAAAATTTTTTTTTTTTTTTTTTTATCCTCACCCGAGGACATTTTTTTTTGTTCAGATAGAATAGGAGGGAGAGAGAGAGAGAGAAACATCGATGTGAAAGGGACACATCAAGTGGCTGCCACCCGCACGACCAACCAGGGCCAGGGACAAACTGCAACCAAGGTACATGCCCATAGCGGGAACCGAACCCGGGTCTCTCGGGACTGCAGGCTGATGCTCTAACCGCTGAGCCAAACCGGCCAGGGCTAGAAGAATTTTAATTATGTATATGGCTTGCATAGTATTTCTATTGGATGGTGCAAGTCTTGAATGTTGAAACTTCTTTACCAAGTGTTAGTTCAACTGATCCTACTTATGCACTTGAAGCCATTCATTCACTCATTCATTCGGTCATTCATTTACTAGTGATGAAATGAATATTTCTGGAGCACTACAAGCTGGGCACAGACTCAGCATCAAGGATCCGGAGATGAAAGGCGCAGGCCCTCCCACACATAGCACTCGGTCATGGGGGTTGATGGATGCATACACAGACAGCTGTCCAGGTGTCGTGCAGAGCCTGGCCCTGTCCTGCCATCCATCTGGTGAAAAGGACACATTTCAGAGAATCACAGGAGGCTGGAGCCAGACAGAACCTCTGACATAATAGATCCAGTAAAGACGCTGAGGCTCAGAGGACACTCCAAGTCACCTACTGGTAGGGGCAGGGCCAGACTGGGCCTCAGATGCCTGGCTCTTCCATTGTTGCCCTTTCACTGCCTTCACTTGGGTATGGTCACCTGGTCCACCAGCCAGAGCCAGCACTGAGGACTGACCCCATCTGCCCTGTGCCTGACACTGAATATGGATTTTTCCCTTTCTGCCCACCAGAGTTGGCCCCACCCAGAGTGGCAACAGATAGTAAATCACCAGTGCTTCTTTCAAGGACAGCATCTTAAATGCCAAACGTCTCCTTCTCCTGGAGTGTCAGGCTCTTGGAGACCTTTGGCCGCTCTGGGCAGTGAAGTAATTAAGTTGAATAGCACATACCCAGGAGACATGGATTGTTCACCTCACCCAGTGCTCAATTATTCCTCAGAAGGAGTGTCTCCTGCTGGCCTTGGGAGAGCACAAACCATCACATCAGCCAATCAGGAAAATTAATTATAGGAATATTCAAGATTGCTCACCATGACCAGGGAGGAGGAGAACTGTCATGAGGCCTAACTGGCCACCAAGAGGCTCACCGTGACATTAAAGTCCACCCTAGACCCCAAACTTCAGTGCATGCCCGGGAAGTTTGCAGGGATTGGAGAGTAGAGGTAGAGAGGTGTTCCGAATGAGAGCAGAACTGAGTGCAGAGGGAGAGGCCCAAGTCTGAGTCAGAAGATTGGGTTTCAGTCTTTCTCTAGCATTAACTACTGGGATGACCTTGGCTGGTTCTCCTGAGCCGCCAATTCCTCATCTTTTGGATTAGATGGCCTACACTCCCCTCCAGCAACACTGTCTGATTCCAGGACTCTCCCCAGTCCCCTGGGCTATTATTTCCTCTGGGCTGTGATCTATGACCTCACCACTTTCCTTTCTGTGGGGCAATGGCCCTATGTCTGACAGCACGGAAACATCCTCTCCCCACAGGATAGGACACTGCACACCACACACCACAGCCACAGCCCATTCCCCCTCCTCCCCAGCCACCCCAGCCATAGCAGCCCCTGGTCCACTGCAGCCTCCTTGCTGGTTAACACTGAGAGGACTGATTTTTTTTTTTTTGGGTGGTACGTGCCCCTAGCAGGAACTGAACCTGGGACTCTCTGGCCTGCAGGCCGACGCTCAATCGCTGAGCCAAACTGGCCAGGGCGAGAGGACTGATTTTGTTGCTCAGCCCACAGTCCCCCGGGAGAGGGCTGGGCACTCACTGGGCTGTGGATCCTCCTTCTGAGGACTCAGCACTTGCAAGGGTCAGTGGCCTTCACTGGCTGCTGGGAAGGGACACTATCTGTTGTGTTGTCATGTCATGTTCACAACAGTGCTCTCAGTGGAGTGACTTGTTTGAAAGTTCCTGTATTTTGGTCGTTGCTTAAATGGAACATTGGTTCAGGAACACTTAATAAAAACCAGGCTCCTTCTCTTTAACATCTCATGACATCCAGAGAGGGGCATCATGCTCCTAGTCTCTGGTGGCAGGGAGAGAATTCTGTGGGGCTGTGCCAGAGTGGAATTTGGGATTCTTTTGTGCCCAGGGCGTCCACAGTCTAATGAATCTTGAGGTTCTCTTCCAGTTTCTCAGTGGGGCACTGGGAGCGCTGGGTTAGGGGTTGGGAGAGCCCCGTTAAACTGTTCATTGACTGCTAATATGTTGTCTCATCTAGGCAATTTACTCCCTTCTTTGGGCCTCAGCTTCCAAATCCAGAAAATGGGGACTCAGTGTTCCCTAAGGCCCTTCCAGCTCTGACTGCCCAGGAAGAGGCCTGAGAGTCTCTAAGAGTCTCTAAGCAGTTGCTGGGGGGCAGGAGGAGGAGAAGAGCAAGGGAAGCGTGGCCAGCCAGCCGAGCTGGGCTCCCGTGCCTGGAGAGGCCACAGGACATCCTCCCCTTTCCTTACCTTGCCCCAGCCGGGAGCCGGTGAGGGCCTCTTTGGCACTCCCAAAACCCAGCTCTCTGCAGACCACGCTGGCAGACACCAGGTCCCACTTGTCATCGCAGATGGTACCCCATTCACCGTTCTTGAGCACCTCCACGCGGCCCTCCCCAATGTTGGCACCACCTCTCAACCGCACCAGGGGCTGCTGAAGAGACATATGATTCTGTTGAGTGCAGAAGCTGATGCATGTTCGGTGGGCAGTCATTCCCCACCCCTTCCCTTCCCAACCACCCCCACTCCAAGCCCAGACACCCAGGCCAGGAGCTAAAACTGTATTAGATCTGTGTGTGTGTGTTGGTGAGTGTGTGTGTGTGGTGGGGACACTCACTCTGCAAGGTCGGCCCTGCTACAAGCTGCCTTGGTGGCTCTTGTGGGGCTTTAGTTTCGGTCCACTGGGGAGCCTATCTGGCCCTCATCAGCCCATCTCCCCAACCCATGCCTGACTCAAGGACCTTCCACCAGCACTTCCTTCCACCTCTACATCCAGAACCTCAAACTTTAGAGCCACAAAAAGAAACTCATACCCCCAAAAGTTTGCAGATTCCAGATAGATAGTCATTCTACCTGACTTGTAACAGAACACTGTAAAACCAGGGCTCCTGCCCGGCCACCACTCTCACCCCTGACTCTACTACAGAACCAATCGGCCTCACTCTTCAGAAGATGCAGACAGAGTGGGCAGTTACAGTTTAAATACCCCTAATTGGCCTGGCCAGTGGTTAGAGCATCAGCCCACGGACCAAAGAGTCCCGGGTTCGGTTCCCACTAAGGGCATGGACCTCGGTTGCAGTTTGTCCCTGGCCCTGGTTGGGGTTGTGTGGGTGGCAACCACTTAATGAAGTCTCTCTCACATCAACATTTCTCTCTCTCTTCCCCCCTCTCGCCCTCCCACTCTATCTGAAGATAAATGCAAAAATGTCCTCGGGTGAGTATAAAAAACAAAACAAAATCATAAATACCCCTTATTGCCCACTGACAGCCTAGAAGCCTTGTCACCGATGGGGTCTACTTCACTGCACAGGAGTAAGATGCACTCTCCACCAGCATCATGACCCTACTGGATCACATCTTACAAGATGGGAGTCAGGTGGACTCCATCTGCCCACATTCCCTGGTCTGCATCAGTTTCTGTGCATGCATGGGTGTGTTTGCATGGGTGTATGTGCATTCGTGCATGCGTGTGTGCACCTGTGCATGTGTGTTGAGGTGGGGGACTAAGAAGGTTTTGAGGCTCTGAGTTACTTCTGACTCTCATTTGATTCAACACAGAGAGAGTAAGGGGTGACTGTGCAACCATTCAATGTGTGTTGAATCAGACCAGTCATTGTTCTACTCTGGCCTACATAATCCTCAGCCTGGGACTCCCTTTACCCCATCCCCCACCCCTACCGATGGCCCAGGCCTAGTTGGAGGTGGTATTTTTAAAGATTTTTTAAAAATCTCATTTTTAGAGAGAGAGGAAGGGAGAGGGAGAAAAACGATGATGTGAGAGTAGAACATCAATCAGCTGCTTCCTGCATGCCCCCTACCAGGGTTGAGCCTGCAACCCAGGCGTGTGCCTTGACTGGGCATTGAACCAGCAACCTTTTGGTGCATGGGATGACACCCAACCAACTGAGCCACACTAGCCAGGGCTGGAGGTGGTGTTTCTTAAACATTCACATATACCAGACACCTTGAGGGCCAAGAGATTAAATGAAACCCTGTGTCTCCATCCTCCAGCCGAGGTTCCCACCCAGTCGCATCTCCTCCCCCACCAACTGTGCTTTGTGGCTGCCATAGCAAGTTTTACAGCTGTCAAGGACTGCTCTGACCCTGGCACTAGGGGGAAAGAAATAAGGGACAGGGGTTGGTGGGGAATATCCACTGGCTTCAGGAACCCTGATTCTAGCTTTAGAAAACAAAGCAAGTAAAACTGCTGTCTCCAACCCATTTCCTGTGGACTGTGACCCCTCCCTTCTTCCACCTCCCTTCCCAAGCTGTCTAGCTGGATGCCAGGGCCCTTCCCATGGAGCGGACCATCCATGGCCCAAGCTAACAAAGGCAGAGTGCCAGTGACCTTGCCATGGCCTGTAGTGGTCAGGCAGAGTCATGTGGCTCTGGAGGAAAGAAAGGAATCAAGGGAAAATGTGATGTAAGGCTCCCTTGCTTTTTTCTTTTTTAATTGGTTTGGTATGGACTTGATTCCTTTGCTTTAAACCGCACAGTAAGAGGAATTTCCAAGCAGTAGGACCTGGGGTCTGGGTGACATATGAGGAAAGCTCAGAGGCTCAGGCTGAGGCCAAAGGATGTGGCTGTCAAATCACATGGCAGGCGCCATGGGAGGCTGTGGTGGGAGAGCAGGGGCCTGGCACTGTCCAGGTGTGCCTGGGTCACTGGGCTGCACACCGCTGTGGCCAGGTTTGTGGGACAGAGGGGCAGGCTGGCTGCCTACTGGAAGAGCCGGGAAGGCACGCCCCACGGCCTTGCACCCTCTGGCTGCAGCACACTTCGCTCCTTTCCCTGACGTCCTCTCCCTTTGTCCAAACACACCACCCCAAGCTGGAGGCACTCTGGTTTTCCTGTCCTATGGGTGAGTGTTGTCACCCACTTTCCAGAAGTAGGTCGTTGATGCTGGTGGAAAGGGGCATTGGGAGGGCAGAGGGGAAAGACAGGAGGGCAGGCAAGCAGAGTGGAAAGGAGACAGATTGGTGCTGCCTTGGCCAATAGAACCTGCCAGGTTTGGGAAGGGTCTGCTTCTCCAGCCCCACCGCCCGGACACCATCTGCCCCCATCATGACTTTTACCCCCTCCTCTTACCCCTGCCCAGCTGCCCAATTCTGAAGTTCCAGGTTTCTCTGGCACAGGGAATCATCCCCTAACAAATGCTCAGGGCTCTTTCCTGCCCCTCCCTCTCCTCTTCCCACCCACTATTCCCACCCACCACCCCATGTGAGCAGTTTCCAGAACATGCACATCCCAGAGACCCTTTGCTGGACATATGAAAACAGAAGAGTGGGAAGAAGGAAAGGTTCTTCCTGATTCTCGAGGGAAGACAGAACAGTGCATGTTCTCATTTTCAGAGAGGCATCAAGTCTGCCTGGTTGGGATAGTTCACTTGTCCTAGGAAATCGGTCTGTTGAAATGGGAGTGTTCATTTATGTGAGCAGATAAGCACCGATAGCTCCTGAACACATGCACACACGTGCACACTCACAGGTGCACACTCATATACATATATATGTAGTGACTGATTTGTACAGATGACATGGTAATGGCAGGATTTCATTTTCCACTTTTGTGAGAGCTTTTTAAAATTTTTATCCTTTCTGTTGCAGAATAAACCAAAATATGCTTGAAAATCTTTGTAGCTGACCTCATGTGCTTTTGAGAGTTGTATCGCATTCCAAAAGCTCTAGGGCATTGCGTCTCCAGGAACTATGCAGAAGCACTGGGGTCGATGATGAAGCACTCTCCTCTCCTGGGTATCTGTCCTCCACAGAGGGGACTCTGGTCCGGGAGTGAAGCAGCAGTGGTGGAAGGGGGTGCTAATGATTGGGGGCAGGGTCCCAGCTGCTTGTCACACACTGTAGGTGGCATCTATTGGTGAGGCTGGGCCTGACAGGTGTTGTCCACTTTCCTGCCCTCCAGAAAAGTGGTCTGAGGTAGGGCTGGCTCTCCTCACTCTGTCCTGGGGGTTCCTGTCTATTTCCTTAACCACCATCACTCACCCTACCCCACCCCAGGTGCCCAGTGGCCAGACTCCTGCCCCATCCTTACCTCTGGCTTGTAGGCTTTCCGGAATCTTGAAGGTCCATCGGGGCTGAAGACCTGGCCAGGCACACAACTCACCACAGCAGGCAGCCCATTCTCACAGGTGACGTTCTTCACAGAGTCCCGCGTCAGCTGCGCGCCCAGACTGCAGCTGGAGATGTGGGCCTCCGTGCCAGTGCAGTCCATGGAGAACCGCCAGTAGCGCTGCTTCTTCCGGGTGGCAAAGATTCTACGGAGGGCAGGAGGGGCCGGTGACCAGGGTGGCATGGTACCCGCCCCTCATTCCTTCTCCAACTAGGCATCGGGCACCTGCCCTGAGCCAGCCACTGTGCTGGCTACTGGGGACCTGCTGGAGGAACGAGATGACTCGACCTCTGCTCTTGAAGCTCAGCTGGCTCCACAGACGGGGATCTGCACAGCGCGTCTGCCAGCACTCCTGACGCCTGTCCTGCCGGGCCCCACCTGTGCTGCCGGGCCGCCTGTGCTGCCGGGCCCGCCGGCACCCGGAGCAGGGGCTGGGAAGGGGTGTGGCCTCCTGCCCCCCAGGTAGCGTACATTCTAGAAGATGAGGGGCTACCTCAGTATAGTGAGATAATACTAAAGCCTATAAACACAAAATGCAACAACGGATCTAAAAGAGAAGAGACCTTCTCAGGGCACACACCTAGGTTGCGGGTTCGATTCCCAGTCAGGGGCATATGGTAAGCAACCAATCAATTCTATCTCCCTCTCCCTCTCTCTCTCTCTCTGTCTCTCTCAAAATCATAAAAAATATCCTTGGGTGAGGATTACAAAGTGATTTTAAAAAATAAAAGAGATGAGGCCCCTGGTCCCAGGAAACTCCTTTAGTCCTGGGCGAACCACAGTGAATGGTCACCCCGACTCTTCAGATAATTTCAACATTTGTCGTCGTCCCTGCCGTTATTTCCCTTTGTCAGTGAGCAGCACAGTGTGACAGTTAAACTCTCTCCTGACAAATACAGGGTCCCCAATGATGCAGTCCTGTGAGAACAGTCTAAATGACCCCGTCTGCTGAATTAAAGTATAATTTGGTAAAAAAAAAAAATGGTCATGGTGATGAAACTCAGCCACAGACCTTATCAAATCTTCGCCCAGGAGCAGTGAGACCGAGTTTGTCTCCACACCATGTCCTAGGGAAGGTCTTACCTGGATCACCTGTTCTTCTGGAAGGCAGAATATGGATCAAGGTGAGTAAAAGTTTTTTCTAGAACAGTAGCCAATCAATGAGTAATGAATTTGTTAATAGAAAGGGTACTGTGTCTCAGTTTCCCCATCTCCAAGTTAGAAGTAGCATTAGGATCCACTCCATAAGACTGTTAGGAAAGTTAAATGAGTTCATACTTAGGGAGCACTGAGCACTGTGTCCAACACAGAGGAGGGGCTATATACACGTTTGTAAGATGAATAAATAAAACTGTACTGGGTAAAGGAAAAAGACAAGAGAGGAGAGAAGGGTGGGAACCCCGTGGTTGCAGTGACCAGGGACAACGTCACAGAAGAGTAGGGTTTGAACTGGGCCTTGAATAACGACAGTGTCTGTGAAGGTGGAGAGCAGAGGGGACACCTGTCTTGTTGTCCTAGCTCTCTGGGGTCTGTGTGCTCATCCCCGCTTGCCAGAACCCAGTGAGACGACAGGGAGCCAGCAGCGATCAGTGGAGGGCTCCAGGGCAGCCTGGCCCCTGGAGGGAACAGGAGCAAGGTCCTGTCCTTGCTGGTTCAGCAGGCCTGGGAGTCTGCTTTGTCTCAATGTGAATGGGATGTGAACACAGAAGGAGGAAAAACTCCACAGACACCACCAATATCTTTCCTTAACCCCAAACTGAGACTTGTAATAATTCTAGTATACTTGTGGGCACAATGACACAGAATCTTTGAAAAAAGACTGTCCTGGAAAATTCAGGATGTGTGCTCACCAGAGCTGCAGCCCGGAGTGACGAACTACCAGGAGGAGGGTTGACAGTTCCAAGAGCCACTGCCCCTCCCCACTGCCTGTAGGACCCTGCACCTGGAGTGGCAGCCTCCAGCGTGTACAAGAACTGGTCAGCTCTCGCTGGCGTGGAGAAGCCTTGGGCTCTCAGCTCCCAGAGAACACCAGCTCTGCCAGGAACAGATGTGCTGACTGCTGCCGCCTCCCACAGGCAGCCCGGCCTCCCTCTTACATCAGCTCCCAGTAATGCACTCTGACCCTCCGCAGGCTCCCATCACACAGCACCACCCCTGCCCCACGATTCACGCCAGACAGGCCCCAAGGGGAAGATGCCTGCTGGGGAGGATGGGTGGGCAGCACACTCCAGGCCTGGGGATTGGAGAGACACTGGAGTTAGGAAACAGTCATTGGCCTGGATGGGAGGCCTGCCTGAGAAAGAGGTGTCCATGTCTATAGATGGGTAGCAAGAAGAACACTGGGCTGGCCTGATTCAATGAAAAATAAACAGTCCTGCTGGCTCTCTCTGAGCCAAGGGGAACCCTGCTTTTGTAGGACTTCTGCCAGCTGTATGTCTGTTCCAATTATGCACTTTGGAAGTGGATGTGGACAAAGGGGCCACATACTAACCCTGACAAGCTCAGGGGAGGCCCGCATGGCATGTCTTACAAACTCAGAGACCAAAAGTAACCACAGACAATGATCTGAAATTAAAACTTTCTAGCTAAAAGCAGGTCATGGTGTCCTGTCCGGTGTCGTTCAGTAGTTAGAGTGTTGGCTTGAGCACCAAAGTGTGTTGGGTTCCTGGCCAAGAGCATGTACCTGGGTTGCAGGTTCGATACCTAGCCCTGGTGGGGAGGCAACCGATTGGCATGTCTCCCTCATATCAATGTTTCTCTCTCTCTCAATCAATGGAAAAAATATCCTCAGCTGAGGATTAACAAAAAAAATAATATAAAAATAAGAATAAATACATAAATAAAAGCAGATCATGGCAGGTAGTTATGTCCTAGGCCAGTATCTTCTCTGACAAAGATCAATCTTTACCTTAACTGAGCTTTCTATTGTCCTTTTGCATCTACCTTAACCTGCCTCTGGAAGGTCAGGGTAATTTCCCTTTTTGCTCCAGACCCCTCAGGGCACAACCACTGCACCACAGCAGAGACCACAAATCCCCTCATTGTTTTGTTAAATATCCTTTACCCACCTTGTAAAAGAAGTATGTGTGTATTCCTTATACTTTTTTTTTTTTTTTCAGACGAAGTGGGAGGGAAGGAGGGAGAGAGGGAGAGAGAGAGAGAGAGAAACATCAACATGAGAGGGACACATCAACTGGCTGCCTACTGGGACCCCACTAGGGCAGGTGACGAACCACAACCAAGGTACCTGCCCTTGACCGGAATCGAACCTGACTCATTGGTCCGAGGGCCGACACTCTAGCTGCTGAGCCAAACCAGCCAGGGCTATTCCTTATACTTTTTATTCAACCCCAGAGATCCCTCCCTCTGCTTTCTCCTGCCTCCCTAAATCTGTCACCAGTGAATTTCATATCACCAATGAATAAGCCCTTTCATGTCTTCCTTTGGCTGCAATGTCTAAAATAAGGTACACAACTGCCATTCTCCAGAGCATTTTCTCAATCCATTGAGATTTTGCTTCCTGGCAATTGTCGTTGGTTTGGCTCAACCAAACTCATAAAATTCTTATAGATTTGGACATTTCTTACACAGGATGGGTCTGGGACCCACCGTGAGACAGACTTGAGCAAAAACTCAACTGATCGCCTGACTTCTAAGCCCCTATTCTGACTGATGGGCCACAGTGGGGTTATCTTTTCAGTTCAGACCCAGTATCCAGTAGTGCCCCAAAGTTCTGATGACTTCCTCTCTCCCAGTGAAGTTTATCCTGGTAAAAGATTCTAGGTCTCTTTGGGAAGGCTGGGAGAAAGATTAACAGTATACAATTTGGGCAGTGTACCAGGGTTCTTCCTCAAGGGGACCTGGCCTCCCCTTCATTCAATGGGCTCTGGGTCTGTAAATTGGCCCAAGTCTGGGAACTGTTTGAGGGCTGTGACTCTGTTTTTATGATTCAGATTAGACTTTTGTTCACTGGATCTAGAACTGTTCTGCTTATAAAGAACAAGTAAGAATTAGCAGGCTTTCTATCTATAGGCAGTCACCACATATGACTTTTTTGGTCAATGACGGACTGCATATACAATGGTGGTATACTATGTAGCCTACAGGTGTAGCAGGCTATACTGTCCAGGTTTCTGTAAGTGTACTCTGTAAGTATACACCTAATGATGCATTTCTCAGAATGTATCCTCATTGTTAAGCAGCATACAAATGTACTTCACTTCTAGGAACATCACGATCAACTAGCCAGTGCCCTGGGTGTGTGCATGTCAGACTCTTCTGGTTGCTGCTTTGACTCTGCGATCTACTCCATAACCATGCCCACCTTGCCTTGGGTGGCTAAGTGCTGCCACTTGGCACTGTGCCTCAGGATCAATCACCCCACTGCATTTAGGTTTCCCCATTCAGTGACTGCAGCCCTACTGCGGGGTCTGGCCGAAAGAGAAGCGCCATCACAGAGCTCTCCAAGGAGTCTGAGACTCCCCTCACAGAGCTAGTCCTCAGGTGTGCTAGAAGGTGTGTCCTCTGGACCCTCCCAGGGTGAGTGAGTAGGTCTCAAATGACAAATCCATTCCAAGCTTCCAATCTCCCTAAGCGTTTGGTGGACAAAAGAGGCCACCTACTACACCTGACAAGCTCAGGAGACTAAAAGAGGCTGGTCTGAACCTAAAAATTACTAACTAAAAGGGGATCATGGAGAGTCACTTCCTAGGCCTATAGCTTCCTTGACAAAGGTCAATCTTAACTTCAAGTGAGCCAGTCTATTATCTTTCACATCTAAGATAGCTTATCCTCGGAATGTCAGAGTAATCTTTTCCAGACCCCTCAGAGCACACCCACTGCACCAGAGCCTGAAACCACAGAACCATGTCCCATCAATATAAAAATATTTGTCTCTTCATTTTATCCAATCTCAGAGGTTTCCCTGCTCTGCTTTCTCCCACCCCCCTAATCTACCACCATGTAAACCTCCTTGCATCTCCTTTTATTCTAAGTTCAAAATAAGCTGCAAAAGTGCCACTCTATAGAGTGTTTTCTCAGTCCATTGAGATTTTGCTTTCTGGCAATTTTCATCAGATTGGCTCAAATAAACTCATAAAAATTCTCTACAGGTTTGGACATTTCTTACATTGATACTTCGAATTCCTTCCTCTACAACATGAAACCGAGGAAGGCTGGCATTTCCATTTCACTCATGGACCCCTCGGTTCCAAGTTCCAGTCACCAACCAACCAAACTTAGAGCCCTTCCAAACTCCCCAGACAAATGCAGAATTCCTGCTTAGTGAGCTGGTGTCAGGAAACCAATAGTGGGATCCTGCCTTCAGGTAGTAAAAGAAAAGACTACAACCAAATGCTCCTGCCCCGGGGATGGACCTTGAGGCTTCAGCTTCACTGCTTCAAGAAGGTGCATGTTAGGCTCCCCAGCCCAGAACAGGAGTCAGCTCACAGCAAAGCAGCTGGTGTTGGGGAGCCCTGGACTCTGTTCTTGGGTGCAGAGGCCACTGGGGACATGTGGGTAGCCCCTTTCCCATGACTTGGAGGCCGGGGTGGCTGGCAGAAGCTCTGAGGAAGAGCTGCAGTCCCAGCCTTGGGGAGACTCTGAGTGGCCACCAGACCTGCAGGGCAGCAGAGGGAGCCAGGGTGGAGAGGCCTTGGTCATGGCCCTGGTGAATTTCCAAGGCTGCAAAGCCCTTCAGGGGCCTGGTGAATGCAGAGAGATTACTAACACCCTCCCAAACAGAATTATTTTGAAAACAATTTTCCTCTCAGTGGTTCTCAACCTTCCTAATGCAGCAACCCTTTAATACAGTTCCTCTTGTTGTCTGTGGGCGTATCTGCATGTGGGCGGACCCGCCTGGAGACGATAGAGGAGCGGTGTCTCGGTTCCTAAGACCATTGGAAATATGTGTTTTCCGATGGCCTTAGACGACCCTGTGAAAGGGTTGTTCGACCCCCAAAGGGGTCGCGACCCACAGGTTGAGAACTGCTGTGAGTGAAAGGCCTCTCTGGGAAGCCACGTCCCTGGCCAGCAAAAGGGAGGTGGGGAAAGATGTTACTGGAAGCCACGGATTCAGGGACCATGCTGGGCGTGACGTTCTCTGTGGCTCCAGAGGCTTTTGTTCTCCTCAACTTCTGAGCAGGGCTAACAGACACCCATCCTCAAGCCAGCTATGCTCCAGCCCTCAGACGTCACAGCAAGCCCCATGGTGGAAGCCTGGGCTGAGCAGCCAGAGCTGAAGCAGGGTCTGATGGAGGAGGCAACAGTGGGCTCTGTGACCCTGAATCCACTGCCCTTCAGGCCTGGGTCTCTCATCATGCAGACTGAGGGCTTGGACCCGGTGACCTCTGAGGCTGCCCAGGCCCTGGGAGTCCCCACTCGGCTCGTCAGAGACAAGCCGAGAAGGTTTTGCCCCGTGCTTCTGCCCCTCCACACCATCTCCAGCTAGGGGTCCGAAGGAGGAGCTGGTTTCCAGCAGCCTTAGCTGAAAACAACACCCACCACCACCTCAGATGCTCCCAGCCTGTGATGCCCTTTTTGGCCCCCGTTTAAAAGAGCAAAGGCACAGACTCAGGGTGGGAGGATCACTGCGGGGGTTGGGGGTGTTCAAAACCAGCATGTGAGAGAATCTGCTGCCTAAATAGATCTGAGATCCCTCCTCAAAATCAGGAAAAGGACTCTGGACCGGCCAAAGTTGGGGAAATAATTTTCAGATGCCTTTGAACAGGCACATGCTGCCGGCCTCCAGCACCCTATTTGCCCTAGTCAGGGCTGCTGGCAGTCTGCCCAGGCCCAGGACTGGACTCATACCAGTTGTCAGGCTGGGGCACTGTGGGGCAGCCAGATGTGAGCCTGTCAGGGGCAAGGGTGTTTGGGTGGGTGAGTGGGGTTTGCTTTTCTTGGCTCCAATGGTAGGAAAAGCTGAGAAGGTGTCTCCAGAAAAGGAGCTGGCCAGCTGGCAGGAATTCCCCAAAGTATTAAGAGGACGGGAACCCCGGTACAAACAGGAAGGTCTGAGCCACATCTGAGGGTGTCTGGAGGGGGATCACTACTAGGATCACCCCTAGAGGGGTAGTGAGCCCATCCCGCTGAGCAGCTCAGCTAGCAGCACTCAGCCTCATTGTGGGCTGGGGACTCTGACCCAAGACAGCCAGGCCGAGCCCAGGCACCTGTAGTCTGCCCTGACCCCAGGGATCTGGGGGGAGAGCTGGATCTGGATCCCATGTCTCCTGACTTCCTCTGGCTTGAAAGGAGAGTTGGGAGTCTACACTCTGTAGGAGTGAGGACCCTATAGCTGGGACCTGTGCTTGGATCTTAGAACTAACACTTTCCTCTCTGACTTCGTTTCCTTACCTGCAAAATTAACCCCTCCTTCTTAATACTGTGAGGATTCAGTAACTAAGGACAGAGCCTGGTTCACAGTAGGCACGAAGTAAACAGGTCATCATTATTAAGAAGAGACAGGAAGGCCCACTAGCAACCAGTACGCCTAGCCACCAGCTTGTCATGGATGAAGCCCCTTCATTCGGCAAATTACTCTAAGTCCCGTTATTATATACTCCTTCCCCCCTCCCCCCTGGGAGATATTAACCTTGGAAACCATAAAAAACTGTAAGGTGTTCATTGGGGTTGGAGTAAGTGATCAAATTTCCTAACAGTTTCCGTGAGTTCTAGATTTTTCAGACTAATTATTTACTGAGGGTAAGTAAACATTTCTTCTTCTTTTTATAAATTGTATTTTTAAAAATTTTATTTTTAAGAATTTTTAAATTTAGGGAGAAAGAGAGAAACATTGATCAGCTGCCTCCTGCATGCCCCCTACCAGGGGTCAAGCCCACAACCTGGGCATGTGCCCTGACTGGAATCGAACCATAACCTTTTGATGCCCAATTAACTGAGCCACACCAGCCAGGGCTAAACATTTCTTCCTAAGTTGGTGTTGTCCTGGTTGAGCCCCTGTGGCCATGGAGCCAGCTGTCGGCACTTAGAGGTGGGGTTTTTCTTGCACCTCATTCTGCCTTTGTCATCCACTTGGGTCTGTCTCCCACGGGAGTGTGAGTTCCCAGGAGGCAAGGCCTGCCCATGACAGCTGGCTGCTGGAGGCCCTCTGCCCAGCCCACCGCCCACGGCAAGAGCTTACTTTTCCTTTTTTAATCCTCACTTGAGGACATTTTTCCATTTTTTTCTTGTTGTTGTTCAGATAGAGAGAGAGAAACATCGACATGAAAGGGACACATGGAGTGGCTGCCACTATCACGACCCAACCAGGGCTGGGGACAAACTGCAACCGAGGTACGTGCCCTTAGCGGGAACTGAACCCGGGTCTCTCTGGACCGCGGGCCAACGCTCTGACCGCTGAGCCAAACGGGCCAGGGCAAGAGGTCACTTTTTATAAGTAGGAGACAGCCCAGGAAACCGAGCTTTGTGCGGGCCTCTTACTTGTACACCTTGGTGTTGTACGTCTTCTCCCCAGGGAAGCCAAACATGCCACAGACCACACGGGAGTTCTTGGCCGTCCAGTGCTTGTCACAGATCTGCTTCCAGGCCTTGCCGTCCTTCACCTCCACGTAGCCCTCCGTCACGGGGGTGCGCTTGCGGTAGGTGGACAGGATGGCTCGGATCCGGATGTCCTCCACCTGGATGTTCAGGTTCTGGGAAGGAGGAGGCACCGAAGGACATGGTCACTTTTCTGGCCCAACCATGGAGAGGGAACCGGGCCAGTGTGCCTCCACCCTCAGGCCCTGCAGGGGCTACAGGTACTACCCACGAGCACACAGCACAAGGCCACGGTGGCAAAGCACTGTGCAGGAGAGAGTATGGCTGCAGGGACACAAGGAGAGGGAGTTGGGCGGCCTGGGCTGCCAGCAGACGCAGAAGCCCCAGCAGCCTCTCCTGTGCCTGGAGAGCAGAGCAGCCTCCTCCTGCAGGGGTCTCAAAATTACAGCAGAAGAGGGAACGTGTTCTCTGAATTTTCATGTTCTATATTAAATCTAATTTGAATTTTGTATTTTATTCCAACATGTGTGTGAGTGTGTATGAATGACTGTGCGCGTGTGTGCACGCATCTTTCCTAAGACCGAGGCTGGTGGTGCCATCTTGCACACTACCTAGTATCCAGGGCACACATGCCTAAGTGAGAACACTCCAGGAGAGTATGGGTAGGGCTTAGAGAGAAAAGTGGAGGGGAGGAGTGTATGCGGGGACCCAGGCCTGTTTAGTGGGGGGACATGTCCTGGGGACCAGGAGGTAAGGGTGGGCACAATCTGTGGCAAGAAAAAGAAAGATTCTGAATGCCTTGAGGCCTCTGGAAAGGCCCCTCCTCACCCCGAGCCCCTTCCATCTTTCTGAGGCAGTGAGTGAGAGAGGCAGAACCTGATGCAGGAGGCAGAAGAGGCTCAGGGGCGGGCAGACTCCTGCCTCACTGCAGCGTGGGCTCTCCTCCCTACACCCCACACTGGGCAGCAAAGTTACTGCCCCGTGCCTCCTCCCGAGTCATAGGATTTGGTAGAAGGACAGAGGGCCTCGAGAGGCCAAGCTCAGTGAGAGGAATGGGGGCTGCCCCGGAGTTTATGCTTTTCCAAGGCTCACCCAGTCTGCTCTCAAACATATGGAAGCTCACTCCTGCATCTCTCACTTCCAGCCCCTGCCCCTGCCCCTGCCTATGGAGCCACCACCAGCTCTTGCAAGGCCCCCCCGAGCCCCTGCCTCCATCTCCCACCTGCATTCACCTGCCACAGGGCCCACTCTTGCCTCTGTAGTCCTCTCCAAATCACTTAGTGAGGTGCCCACAGCCCGATGTGACTAATTCTACCTCCCCTCTGGCCACCTCACTGTCCCCACCCCAAATCTATGCTCAGATCCAATTAACTGAAAAGTAATAACAACAGCTATTGTGTGTGAGCCCACAGTAAGACTTTATGTGCTTTCTCTCAGTCCTCAAACAATAGAACGAGGTGCTTCCTAGCTATTGTTCTCCCATTATCCAGGTGAGAAAGCTGATAGACTCCAACTGTCTCCCCAGGATCACTTAGAGGCAGGAGCACCGAGGTGTATGTGAGAAGCAATAAGAGCTGGGCTGGGGAGGGGTGGAGAGGTGGGGTAAGCATGGGTGCCGCCAAGGGGGAACCTGGAGACCCAACCCACATGCTATCGAGGATGCAAATTAACCACAGGTTTGGACAGGACCATTTTTGGGTGCCCAGGGATTCATGTCTCCTCACCACTGGCTTCAGGGTGTGAAGCCAGGTCCTGTTCCACCAGTCCTGCAGGGCGGCGGAAAGTATGTGGGTCAATAGTGATGGCATTTGGCCCTGGTTCCTTTCCACGCAGAGTAGAAGGAAAGCTGCCAGTGGCAAGATGATGTTGGCCAGCTTAGATCCTAGATTCTTTACAGCTTCCATTCAGGCCACTGGACCCGTGCCACAAAGACACGTGGACAGGGATGAGCCAAGAAAGGGCCTGAGGTCCAAACCAGCCCTTGGGCCAGCCCCTCCTGCTTCTTCCTACCTCGAAGCCACGCTGGAATTCCAGAGTGTAATAGGCAATGCCCAGAAGGAAAATTACCGCTGTAACATTAGCCCTGTGGCTTCACAGAGCAGGCAAACCGGAAGGACTTTATTACATTCACAGACCCTCCTCTCTCCCTCCACCTCCATCCCCCACCATGGGCAGCAGGCAGGCTGGCTAAGCGAGGTGTGAAACGTGGATGTCAGCACCCCAGCTACGACAGAAGGGAGGCCCAGGGCGCGGAAGGGAGCTCAGCAGACCCCTGTACCCGAGTCCTAATGGGAGACGGTATCCCTCAGCAGAGGCATAACTGGTAGGGAAAGCCAGGTGGACTCTAGGCTGTGCAACACAAGGCTGCTAGAACAGGTTTCACTGTCCTCGTTCTTTCACCCACTCACTGCGTGCGAGCGTGTGCATGGGTGTGCACGTGTGTGTCATGGTGTGTGTCTGTGTGTGTCTGTATGTGTCCATGTCTCTGTGGGATGGGCCTTTTTGTGTGTGTATATGCAGGGTTGTGTGTCCGTGCACTGTGTGCATCTGTATGTGTGGGGTGCGCATCTATTTGTGCCCCTGTGTGATGGAAGACAGGTCCAGAGGGACTCGTTTCCTCCAGAGCCTTAGGAGAGTGATCTGGGCAGGTTTACATTCCTTATTCCTTTAAAATGGAACGAACCAACTCCTTCCCACTTTTTTGTGCTTAAATCCACCCACATTCATTCATTCATTCATTCATTCATTCAACAAAGTGCGGTCTCTCCCCTTCGTGGACCCTGCCTCTTCTATGAATAATAATGACTGCAAGGGCCCTCATTTATCAAATACCAACCAAGTCATTACTCTCAGGCTCTCTGCTCAGATTTTTCCATCCATTCCTTGCTCAATTCCCAGCCTATGAGAAGGCTAATGGTAAACCACATTATAGGGGAAAACAAGAAAATCTGGCAAGGCTCTGCAACTTCTCCAAGTTCACACAACCAATCAGTAAGTACAAAAGGGTAAAAACCAAGTTCTGACTCCAAGCCCATGCTCTAGGCTCCTAACTACTGGTCTCTGAGTGGTCCTTGCCCCCTACCCATGCCCTATCTGCTGCCTGGTGTGGAGTTGAGCCACATGGGGCAGGGGCAGGGGCTGGGGCTCAAGCTTCTGGGTGGTCTCTTAGGGGCCTGCCCAGCGCTGTGCATGTCCACGGTCCACCCTGCGCCTGCGCGGAGGAGCCTGAGTCAGACCCAAATGCATGCACTTGAGGGCAGAGCTGCCTCCCAGCTGATCCTGACTCAGGCCCCAGTGGCAGGGAAACCCTGGTGGCTCAAATTCAGCGCTCACTGCTAGTGAAGCTCAACAGGCCGCCCAGAGACCCCTGTGGAGAAAAACAAGCAGACACACATCACATCCCTGCTTATTTCACTGCTGTGGAATCCCTTCCATAACCACAAGTGTTAGGAATTTTTTCCCCCAGAAGTTCAACTCCAAAAGAGAAGAAAAGATTTGAAACACTAAAACATAAACACATTTTTCTTTTCTAACAAAAGGCTCTGTAGACTTGCTAGTTTTACATTAAGTTCATTAGCCCAGAAACTGGTAACATATTTGGCACATTTAAAATTCAAATTAAGATCTGAATTCTGTCCCTCTTGCCAGAGAGTGTCGTTCACCGAGCTCTCCCAAGGCTCTCCTCCAGGGAATCCACAGGACCTTCAGTATTTGTCCTACTCAGAGCTCATCACAGGCCCAGGGGGCCGGAGCCTTGGAAGTGACCATCCCCTGCTCTGAAATGAAAAAGCAAGGTGCAGCAAGACCGTGCTCTGCTGTCCAGCCAGTGGGCTAGGAAAGGGCTTGACTCCCAGTCCTGTGCCTGGTATTTCACATTTACAGCTTCTGTGAATGATTTGCAAATTCCACAGTGTGACTGTGTAAGGCTGTTGCCAATGAGGAAAAGCCACTAGTTTTGAAAGTCTAGTTGGAGATTGCATCAGAGAAATATAGGGGGAGGCAAGGCAAAAACACACGCAAACCTACAATCCACTTCAATCTGGCTGAAAACTGGGCACCAACACAGCCTTCCTGGGACTCCCCAGGACGCAGGTCAAGAGCCTCCCTGATCTTCCTGTCTCATTCCCTCTCTTCTCTTTTTCCAGCCAACAAGCTTCTCTCACTGCCACGCCAACGCCACTCTTTGAACACCCAAGGAGGCACGTTTGCAAGGATGAGGCCTTCACCAAGGGTCTTCCTTCCCTCTGTTCTAGAAGTCATAATTTAACATCAGCCCAGCCTTCCCACCTGAGATGTCCTCTTTGGGGTGGTGTTGGGGTGGGAGGACTAGGATGGAGACATACAGTCCTCCATCACCCCGACTAGAATGGCTGACTGGTTAGTTCTACAAAACCTGCACTTGCTTAGCAAGCCCCTTCCCCCTGCAGCCAATAGGTTCCTGCAGCTTGCTCTCAAAGCCTGCAGCCTTCTTTATTCAGCTCTTTTAAAAAACAGCCTCCAGATAGAGATCCATTTTCCCAACTGCCAGCATGGCACCTTCTTCAGCACCCAGAACCAAACACATCCAGGATGTCCTCAGTCTTTTCTGCTTTCATTGAGTGAGGCTCTGAGCCACCCAGCTGGCAGGCCAGAAGCCTCACGTGCATTTTACATGCTTTCTCTTCCTCACTCTTACAGCCCATTGTGCCCAGCAAGGCCCTTTTAATCCTCCCACCACTTTTCCACCCCTACTTCTGTTCCCCAGTCAGGTGTGCAATGTGAATCGTGCAGGCAGAAGAAGAGCATTATAATTCGGTCATTTCACGAGGGCCCTCTGTGTCTCCTCAGTCTGGATGATTCGCCGGCACATTCATCCACCCTGACTATTGTGTCTTCATGTGCCTTGCTTAGAACATTCCTGTGAGCCCTGGCTGGTTTGGCTCAGCGGTTAGAGTGCTGGCCTGCGGTCCAGAGAGAACCAGGTTTGGTTCCCGCTAAGGGCACGTACCTCGGTTGCAGTTTGTCCCTTTCACATCAATGTTTTTTCTCTCTCTCTCTCTGTCTTCCTCTCTCTCCCTCCCACTCCATCTGAACAAAAAATGCAAAAATGTCCTCAGGTGAGGGGAAAAAAAGCACATTCCTGTGACTCCAGTTAAGAGCCTCCCAGATCTTTCCA